GAGGGGCTCACAGGTCTCTTGCTGACTCCATACACACTCAGATCTAATCCCCTTTGCTCCACGTGAATTGTGGAAGGCTGGCTCTTCGGGGACACTGGAGACTGCTGCAGGGCTGTCTGTCCTCAGCAGCCACCCTTCCCCCTCTTGCTGAGGGCTGCGTCACAGAGAGGGCACAGGGCAGTGCCACATCCTCTCTAAGCGCTCAAATTTCCAGGCAGGGAATATGTTTCCACCTTCCCTTTTCCTCCAAAAACACAGAGTCCGTCTGCAGGTTGAGGAATGGAATGGCACCGTGCAGGCAGTGGCTCTCCTGACCTCCTGTCCCGTGATGCTGCTGCGGTTTCTAAGGACCAAGCCTTTGGCTCACTGTGGAATGACAGCCAAGCACTGGGAGATCCCTGGCTGTCGTGGGAGCACTAGTCCCATGAGGTGCTTATGGTGCTGGCGTGGTGTACCCTGCTGATCACGTGTGTTCCAGAAGTCAGGCAGAGCTGACAGAGGAGAGGATGGTGGCTCTAAAAGCCAAAAGAACAGGACTAGAAATCCTCCCTGGGTGGAGGCTTTGGTGGCTTGGGGGTGGGGGGCTTGAAAGCCAGGAATGGACAGAATCTGCTGCCCTTCTTGCTCAAGCTCCCTGCAAAATCATACAAGGAACACGGGGCTGTATCCTCCTTGGCCCTCCCAAGGAGACTGCAGGAAAGATTAGTCGACGGCAAGATGGACACCCTGCCAGCTGGACACAGTATTGGAGCCCTTCCAGGACTGCACGGACAAAGTCCATTTCCCTTCAGTGTCCTCAGAAAATGGGAAGTATTTTGTTTGAGCAGGTAATTTGAGGACCCAAGAACAGTGTCTGAGTGAATGGCAGGGCCCCATGAGCATCAGGAGTCAGACTCAAGCTTCACCCAGCCTCTCCCCACAATACTCCCAAAATGTAAAAAGAGCCCTTCCGAGGGCCGAGGCATCTGAGTTCCTCTAATGCTCAAGCCCCACAGACAAGAGCTCCTAGAGAGCAGCCCGCTCTGGCTGGGGAAGGAGGGTTAGTACTGCCGTTTCTTGAGTGACGAGCAGGAGTGAGAGCTGCGAGGTTGCAGGCGTGGGTCTGCCCCCCCTGCCCGCACCACCTGGCCCTGCCCCCCCTGCCCGCACCACCTGGCCCTGCCCCCCCTGCCCGCACCACCTGGCCCTGCCCCCCCTGCCCGCACCACCTGGCCCTGCCCCAGCCTCGAGCACATCGCTCTGAGCTCTTGGCGAGGCAGAAGGAAGAGCTAGCACCCAGGAGACGCATGCGGAGGCTGCTGGGTGTGTGGCCTTGCAGCGTGCGTGAGGTCTCAGATCGGCTCAGAGAGGTATTCTTCATGGCGCACAGAGTTTCCTGCCCAGGACAAGTAAATGCCTGCTTGCCAGAATCTCCCATTTTGGGTCAAACTCTGCCAAAACATTATTCGGTTTTCTAAGTCCCAGGCTGGGTGCCACAAGCAAGGTTCTCCTAGGACCCATCCTCCCAGTCTTGCCCAAAGTTAATCTCTCACTCCTTATCCCCCCCTTCCCGGTGTCCCATGATTGGACCATCCCATATCTGATGGCACTTTATTTCCCAATTAAAAATAACTGAAAAAAACACAGATGACATATTGATACTATTACAATAATAGACACTACATTCACACTGGTTTCCAGAATCTGCAGCAAGAATGACCAGGGTGTGTCTTCTCCAAGACCGAGCCCCATGCTGTCAGCCTCACAAACTCTCTCACCACCACACCCTCCAGGAGCTGTTGGAGTCACAGTGCCACCACTCAGGACAGGTGTCATTACAAGCCCCTAGGTAACCGTGACCCCCTTCTAATGCTGCTGGGCGGGCTTCCTTCTGAGGAGCTGGGCACCGGCCCACAGCCGCGTGGGAGGATCCACAGCATTTCCATCTGCCCGCCAGCCCCGCCCCGTTAAGCAGGTCTGCCGCAGTTCCTCCCAGCGGCAGGGGGCGAGTGCATCCCGGTTCTCCGGGGCTCTCAGACCTCCTAGCTCCACACAACCCTCAGCTCACATGTACTTTCTGCAAGTGATTATTTGCTTTATGTTACAAACTTTTCATATGTACACATTTCCATCAGAAAGACTTAAAGCAACTCTGAACAAGTGTATCAAAGCGAGGATGAGGCAGGAGGGGGCATCAAGGCATGAGCTATATCCCAGCCCACCTGGGAAGGGGGCACTGCTCAAAACATCTCTAAGCACAGGTACAAAAATAGAGCAAACTATGACTTCATATAGATATAGAGATATAGAGCTAAGATTGATAGACTTTGTATAGGTTTCCTTTACATTTACACGCATGTGCGCAGGCGCAGGCCCTGCGCACCTTGCCCGGCTTGAAGCTCTTGCCCCACCCCCACCCTCCAGGTGCACCAAGGGCCCAGTCGCCAGCGCTGCATCTGCCCCCTGCCCCCCAATAAGTTCCCTCTCTCCTTAAAATAGAGCAAATCATATATATATTTATATAATTTTATGTACAATCGCCATAAAAAATACACTTAAGAAGGTGTATTACTAATTTTATCCTCCTACCAAAACAGAAGTTGTCTAGCAAAGAAGGAGCCAACCAAAATGAGGGTCTCCTGGGCCTGGTGACGCTAGTCAGGCAAATCAGTGTGTCTGTATAAAGCCCTCACACACACCCCACGCCACACAATCACACACCACGCACCACACACACAACATATATCACATACCATGCACATGCACACACAATCACACCACACACAGCATACACCACAAATATCACACACACACCAGGCACACACACATCACACACACAACATATACCACATACCATGCACATGCACACAATCACACACATATCATACACCACACACCACACACATATACATCATACACCACACACCATGCACACTGCACATGCACAGTCACACACACACCACACACATCAATCACCACACACATTACACACACAACATATACCACATACCATGTACACACACAATCACACACACATCATACACCACACACAAAACATATACCACATACCATGCACATGCACACAATCACACACATATCATACACCACACACCACACATATATACATCATACACCACACACCATGCACACTGCACATGCACAGTCACACACACACCACACACATCAATCACCACACACATCACACACACATCATACACCACACACAAAACATATACCACATACCATGCACACGCACAATCACACACACATCATACACTACAGACACATCATACACATATCACACATAATCACACACATCACACTCCACACCTACCACACGAACACATCACATGCACACATCACACACACACACCACACAATCACACACCACACCATGCACCGCACAATCACACATCAAACATACACATCTATACCATGCACACACCCCACCCACCATGCACACACCACACACACACATCATATATACCGCACACACACCATGTACACACACCACACACACACACCACATACATCACAAACACACACATCCCCATACAGATGCCATACACACCATATACCATATGTACCACTCCCACACACCACACACACACCACATGCATACCACATACAATACACACACTGCAGAAACACACCACAATACACATGTACACCACAGACACACACACACATCACTTCCTGGACCTGGAAAAGGAACTGCGGACTAGATGCTGGCTGTGGGCAGAGGTCCGGGAGACAGCCTGGTCCCTGCAGGACAGGCAGGACAATCCCATTTCTCTGACCCGGCCAGGACCCCGTGGACCCAGGACAGACCTCTCCTTGTTCTCAGGAAGCAATACAGACACTCACTGATAGAGTAATTGAAGATCTCCCTTCTGAGAATCGCAAGACAACCACAAGGAGGTTTGCATCCCTCCCCCAGAAATGAGGTCTCATAGATCCTGAAGCCACAAGGCGGCAAAGGTCCCTGAGCCCTCATCCCCAGTGTGAGGGGGCTGGGCATCCGCCCTTCTACCTAGTATGTGAACACCCCACGCGTCGCCCAAAAGCATGCTCGAGGCGTGTCTAAGGCTGAAAATGCAAATCCCCGCCCCCAGCCCAACCCTCATGCCCTCCCTGATTCCCTCCCCGCCAACCACCTCCCTGTCGTGGACCATGCACATGTTCAAGATCCCTAGAGCCATAAAGAAGTGGGGGCTAAAGGAAAGTGAACCTAACTGGTGTGTAAGGGCGTGTAAGGGAGCATTCACCCCAGTTCCCAAAATAAATCTGGGAAATCTGGTGCCTGGGCGAGATGGGATTGGTGGAGAACATTTCTTTAAGATACAAAAGAAAATGGGCCCAGACAGCGATTTGTGTCCCCATCCAGTGTGACGGGAAAGGTAGACAGCCTAGAGACCAGGGACGGGAGCTGCAGATTTGTCCCACTTTACTGGAACTCTCCAATCTCCCAGGCAGCAGTCAAAGCTGACGACGATGTCACCAGCTCACTTCAGAAACCCTAAGTCCTACTACTGACCCACCGCAGAAGAGAACACCCACGATTTCAGTGACTGCTTGCTGTTCTACCGAAGTATTTAGCAACAGTGATTCCCTGATTCTTCCTTCTCTAAGGTGCAGCCAGCCATTGATAACCTTTGCACTAATGCTTAATTTTTCCTTCTGCTACACAGAAGCCTTTGGGGTGTGAGGGTGTCTTTGGACCTGATTCAATCTATTGAGAGTTTTTCCATCAGCTTAAAATGAGGTCATGAAAAAACTTCTACCCTCTTAGCAACCCAACACACAAGATATTTGGTGAGGATATCATATTTGCTCCTGAAAGGCTGTTTTGAAAGTATAGACAAGGGCCCAGAAATAAGGCTCCGGACCAGTGTAGATTCACCGGCAGTCAAAGGGAGGGGTGGTAACGGATACCCCAACCCAAGTGTCAAGTGGGTAAGAGTGCTAAAGTCCAAACCGGGCTTTGATCCTTGGTTTATTGACTTCTTCTAAAGAAGAGATTTTTAATTCTGCCTCTTGATCCAAAAAGCAGCAGAGCTGGAGACATTAAGGAGTGCGGAAGAATGGGTGGCCTCTGATCTCAGGGCAAAACTTTCACCTTCCTACCTCAGCCACAGACCGGTGAGTTCAACCTATCAAACGCAGAGAAAGTAAGGCAAGTCCTCTAGGTACGAAGCCACTGCGTAGCTTCCGGGCCCGAAGGGAGCCTGTATACTGCAAGCAGAAAGGGTGAGAGAGGAAAGCCGGGCCCCAGCCCCTCCTCTCCAACCCGATCACCAATGTCTTGCAAACATTTTCAGAGCACGGAAGAGGAGAGGGACCACCTGCCACTTCTGCTGAAGAAAACACACAAAACTCTCATGAGGAGGTGGTGGTAGGAGGAGCAGCTCAAGACAAGTCTCCCAGCCTTGGGCCTGAAGAGCCCCAAAAACAAAGTGGAAACATGTTACAAGGATGTCCATGATTAGTTTGGGCACTTTGTGTTTGAGGCTGACTCGAGAAGAAGCAAGGAAGTCTGCCTAAAAAGCAAGACCTCTTCCAAGATGCAGTCTAGTCTGGGCCATATGCCAGCGCCCCCCGCCCCCAGTCCGTTCTCAACCAGAGGCCTCCTGCCACACACGTCCCCACATGCCCTGCACGGCCACCATGCCCCAGCCGGCCCCACCAGGCAATCATCCTTCGGGGTAAGTAAGCTATCGCATGCCCCAAAGAGAGTGCACGGTGAGGCTTGGTGTTCCCTGGCAGGGTCTCACCATCCTACCCCAGGCCCCGCTCCCAATCCACACCTGACCGACTGTACGCCCCTTCCAGCCTCACAGACACCTGGCAAAGCACACGGGCCTCCCCTCCATGTTCCTACTCTCTGACTCCCCTTCCGAAACCCCCTGTCCCACCCACTACCCCATTCGATCTAAACCTGGCCATTAAGACACCTCCTGGGCCCTTCCCCAACACAAGGAACGCTGCACACTGGGCTGCAGGCGCCCGCCGTGCCGGAGCCGCCCCCGCTCTGCTGGGAGAGGACCCAAGGCAGCGCTGGGCAGGGAAGCCCCCGGGAACGTGCACAGCTCCCACAGGGAGCCACGGGGTGTTCTCACGGGGGCCTCCTGTGTTCCCGCCTGTCTTGACCTTCTCACCCCTTCCTACTGCTCCCCAATAATCTCTGCAGTGCCCCCACCAAGAAGCTCCTTTACATGCAAGCAAAGCAAGCCCAAGATTAACCATTAGCTTGTCTTTTCCTAGGTTTCTCTACATATTAATAAAATATACTTTATGTACAATTCTTCCCCCAGCCCACCCCTGAACCCCCAAAAGGATTTTGCTAACAAAATTGGAAGGAACAGATTCCAGCCACATAGTCTTCAGCCCTGGATGCAGATCCGGGCCGGCAGAGACGTCCTGGCGCTCCCTGAAATCTGTCCTCCTCTGAAGCTACTGTTTCACCAGCCTTGCCCTCCCCCCACCAAAAAAAAAAATAGTCAGGAAATTCAACATCTGAACCTTACCCAGTCTCCTCTGCATGAAGAGGACAGAGGAATAAATAACTGAAATCAGTCCAGCCCCAAATATTTTAGATCACAAATCAAAAATAAAGACGGAGGGCGTGGAAAAAGATCAGTAAGTATTCAGCCCAATCCAACCCTCTCGAGCCTTCCCTGAGAGCATGGCCAGAGACAGGCCCCTCCAAGGGGGATGCAGACCCTGTCAGCCCACTGGGAAGAAGGCATCCTTCCTGTTGAGAAAGTAGAACCTCAGAAGGCCTCTCCTGCCCCCAGTCCCTTGAGGAAAGCTGGCAACAGGCACAGCCACCACCAGACGCGGCCCAGGCCACAGGCAGCCCCGCACGGGTCCCCTCTCAGCCACGGAGCCCTGGCTCCAACCAGCAAATCAGGAAACAGGGTTCACCTGCTCCCCCTGTGGCTCATCTTCTCTCCCTACACGTGTACAGTCGTTCGGGCCCCTGGAGACCGACCCGCTTCCTGGTCTGTGGGTCACCTTACCCTGAAATAGCCAGTTTCCAGCCATGGTGCAGACGGAAGAGGCAGCGCAAGTCTGAGACACAGAAAAAGGTTTTCATCTGAGTCACTTCTACCACAAGACCACCTGACCATGGAAAGGGACGTCTGGAAGACTTGGGATCTCCAACAGGGTGGAGCACGAAAGTCCCAAGAGGCTGGATCGTGGTCACTGCTATTGTTCAAGGGCAGAATACCCTTGAAGGACATTGGTCCCTAGAAATGGCTGCACGCCCCTCATGCACACGTTCATGACAACGCTATTACACATGTGCTCACACCCAGCACCCACGCGTGTGCCTGCAACATGGCTACCGCCATCCCATGGAGGGAGGGGCTTGTGTTCTGCCAATTTCCACCCGGAGGATGGAATGGCTCCTGGGGTGCAGGAAGGCTGTCAGCCTCCGAGGGTACTGTCACAAGAAGGAAGGCTTCTTGGGAGAAGAATGAGACCTAGGCCACTGAGAGAAGCTAGACCTGGTGTCCTTCCCCTGGCCTGGGGACACCACAGGGCAGCTGCCACCCAATGCCAACAAAAAGCACAGCCCCCACCGTCGGGTCTGACGTGCTGAGGTAAGGGCGCTGCTGGGGAGGTGGAGAAAGAGGGAGTCAGCACCTCTATTCGCACTGGGGCTCCTGGAACCCAGTGTCCGAGCATTTCAGCGCACAGAGTTTGGCTCTGGGCCTGTGACACCCTAACGGAGCAAAGCCTCCCACCCCTCCTCCTCTTTTCTAACCTCAGGCTGGAATTCCAGGACAGTGCTCAAAGAAGTTGGCTGAATTCATCCCAAAGTCCGACAGCCTGACGTCCCATGCTCCCAGTCCGTCCCAGCACCCAGGCCAACCACCCTGAGCTCTGCCCCGGTGGAGGACTCAATGCTCCCAGGGCACAGACTGGTGACGGGTCCCCATCTCACTCTGGTATTCAGGTAAGCCTGCTCCCAGTATCCCCTAGGACAGTGCTGGAGTGAGCAGCATGTGGAGGCACGGGGGCAGAAAGAACAGTCCCCAACATCGCCTCTTCCACTATGCCAGAGCTGCTGCCCAGCAGGCAAGCGGGTCCTCATACCCAGAGAAGTGCATCAGCTGGAAGGCCCAGGGTCCCTCCGAGGGTGCAGGGTCCAGCGCCACAGGGGCAGAAACTCTGCCCCATGTACCTCTCACCACGACACCTTCAGATGCATTCGAAAGTAAACTGTGGTGGTGTGACTCACGGTGGACCTCAGGGCACAGCTGGTCCCCAGCTCACCAGGTAAGAGGAAGGAAGCACCAGGGCCTATCTGGCAGAGAAATCCACCCCCGATGGAGGGGATGAAGAAAGACCAGCTTCACAGCCCTCCGAGGACCCACCTTGTCCCGGTCATTGGGCCAAGCCTCTGGCAGTGGCAGTGAGACCGATGGAAGCCTTCTAGCGCTCAGACACGGCTCAGGTCCAAGCAGGTAACTGGGGTGGGGCGTGCCCCCACACCCACCAAGACAGCAGCACCAAGAAGGAAACACTTCCAGGAGCCTGGCAGCTACCTTTACTTGGTCCAAGCCAAAGTGGAGCCCTGCACAAAGTGCGGGAGATGGCAGATCCACCCTCCACCCCACCCTCAGGGCCTTCTGCCCAGTTCCTGGGCAGCACCATTATCTTACTGGAAGAGAGAAATGCATCTCAGGAGGAAGATGGCCTCACAGAAGCTTCTGGATGCTAATAGTTTGAACTAGGACAGGACTTTGGCAGAGTAAATGTCAGTGCCCAGACCCCACTCACCACCCTCTGCCTGCATTCGTCTGCCTCAGCCAGCTCCATGTAACGGAGCTGGGGAGAGAGCGGGGACCCAGAGTGCCCCAGAACACAGAAACCTGAGGCTCCCTAGCTCCATCTGATCCCGTCCTGCTGGAGCTGGGGTCTGCAGGGTGGAGAAGCCCAGCAGAGAAGAGAGGCAGGCAGCACGTGGCGAGCACAGGAAGGAGCCGCAGGAGGCTCTCAAGTGGCAATTAATCAATGTGGGGAATTAGCTCCCACAAAAGGAAAGGAGGATCCGATCAGCCGCCGTGGAGCCGTGCTCCAGACAGCCACGCCAGAGACGGTATAAATAGAGCCCGGCAGCCTGGCGCTCAGCACGGGCGGCTCCAGGGTGGGAGAAGCTTTGGCCACGGGGCCCCTGGCCTGGCTGGACCAAAGGGGCTGAAGGATGAGCTCGAGTCTGCGCACCAGGGCTCGCCTCTGGCCCCACGGCTAGGCAGCTGCTACTTCTGTAGCATGAGCCCAGCTGGAAGGAAGAAAGACGCCAGTCAGGGTGCCTGGCCGCCCTTTCTTCACCCAGGAGCCAAGAAATGAAGGCTTGTGTTAGTTCTGTAGTAACTCATTGCTGAAGTCCCAAAGCTGGCAGCCGGTAATCTCGGCAAGGCCCCGCTTCTGCTCTGGCTGGGAGAAGGTAGGAGACAAATGGTGCATTCAGCGGAGAAGCATGAGTCCTGCTCCAGGAGGAAGAGTCCCCCGAGACGGACGCCAGGCACCCAGCCGGCTCCAGACATCTTTGCTCACAAACCCCAGCGGGCCACTGCCCTCCTCCTCCTGCCTGCACTGACCACAGAGAGCAACAGCACTTTGCTTCAATGTACATATATATACACATAGAGAAGCCCACACACTACATACATATGCATTTGTGTCTATATCTATATATACGCGGCGTCTGGAAGACGGGAAGGAAGTCCAGCCCTCTTCCAGGACTTGGAAAACTGAGACAGAAGCAGAGAGCAGGAAAAACCATTGCTTTCCTCTTCTTCGCTTCCAAAGACATTGGAAGAAGTGAGAAAAAATCAATCTAGTGAAGCAGGGGGAGGAAGGGAGGAGACAAATGTCTCTCCGTCCCCAACTCACTTCCTGACGTCGACCCACAGGTGGAAGGTCTGCCCAGTGCTCTGCCCTGGAGGCACGGCCGGCTGGCCTGGATCTGGAGGGAGACCCCCACTCCAGCAGGAGTATGGGCCTGGGGGACAGGGGTCTGGGCCACCCCCGGTGGGCAGAGGAGGACGCGTCCCTTGCAACGTCCCTCCCCGCCCCTGAGCCCATCACCTCGCCCTGGGGACACTTGAGTGGGGCCGAGTCACAGCAGAGTGGCATGGCCAGGGTCATCGTGGTCCACACTGTTGAGAATTGCTGTCTGGTCCTCCGGAAGCTGGCGGTGACACAGGTCTGAGAGCCGGGCAAAGGGGTCGGGACGAGAGTGTCTCTTCTTCTTTCGGAGGCAGACAGCTTCATCGGGCCACAGAACCTGAGAGCTAGGAAGCTGCTGAGCCTGGGAGGCAGAACCGTCTGGGGAGACGGCACAGGTATGCAAAGAAAAGAGAAGAAGTGGGTGAAAAGGAAGCATGCAGCCTTACACATTCACCTCTTCCATCTGCCAGGACACATTCTGGGCTTCCAACATTAAAACAAAGGAACCACCTGGGCGTAGGCAGGCAGGACCACATTGCTGCAGGCAAACCACCTTCTTCACCACTAAGGCAACAAACCACCCAGCCCTGCTCGCCTCATGAGAATGAGAGTCAAAGTGGAGGAGGGCCAGGCGTGATAGCTCACACCTGTAATCCTAGCACTCTGGGAGGCCAAAGCAGGCAGATTGCTTAAGGTCAGGAGTTCAAAACCAGCTCTGAGCAAGAGTGAGACCCCACCTCTACTAAAACTAGAAAGAAATTAATCTGCCAACTAAAAATATATAGAAAAAATTAGCTGGGCATGGTGGCACATGCCTGTAGTCCCAGCTACTCGGGAGGCTGAGGCAGAAGGATTGCTTGAGCCCAGGAGTTTGAGGTTGCTGTGAGCTAGCCTGATGCCACGGCACCCGAGTCCAGGCAACAGAGTGAGACTCTGTCTCAAAAAAAAAAAAAGTTGGATGGATATGATTTTTCTTTCTGTCAATTCATAGATCCAGTCAATCAATCTACACATATTTTTTTTAGTGCCTCCCAGGTGTCAGGCATCATCCCAGGTACTGGGGACCAGAGCTTCTAAGAACAGATCAGGACTCAGTACATCCTTCTCACCCACTCCAAGTAAGGACAGACTTCACTCAAGATTTTAATCATATGCAACAGTCAGAGCTGGATGCTCCCTGGACTGCCAGGGCCACTCCTGCTTCATGGCTTTTCTGGGGATGCAGCTGGAAAGCCTTTACTTTCTAGAAGATTATACTTTAGTGTAGGGGTGGGGAGGAAGACACGAACTGTCAAGACGTAAAAAATACAGAAGGAAAATTTGCAGATACTGAAAGTGCTACAAAGAAAGATGAGGTGTGGTAGCAGACAGCTGAAGTACTACCTATGCTCCCTGAAGGGTGAACACGTGAGTTGAGTCTTGACTTAAGAGCCTTCCACCGATCTGAAGGAAAATTATTCCCAACAGAAGGAACGGCACGTGCGAAAGCTCTGAGTTAAGAGCAAACATGGCATGTTGCCGAGATGGAAGGCAGCTCATCGCAGCCAGAGCAGGATGAGGCTGAAAGACGGATGGGGTGTCACAGGAGTTTGAAATCTGCTCTGCTTGCAATGGGAGCTTCTGGGAGGTTTTATCAGAAGTGGGGGGGCACGCATGCTGCTGTTACGGGTTCTGGAGTTTGCTCTGATGGCTGTGTGTGGAATACACTCTGCAGGGTGCAAGCTCAGGACAGCGGGGCCCCTGCGGGTTGCTGCGGCAGCCGGGTGGGAGAGGAGAGGGGTCAGAGTGCAGGGGGAGCTGTGGGAACAGTAGAAAGGGCCCAGACTCGGGCTGTGTTGGAGCGGCTGACTCTGCAGACCTCACCGAGTAGACTGGATGGAAGTCGTGAAGGCAAGAGCTGAGGAGAAGCAGGTTCGGGGAGGATAATCGATAGCCCTATTTTAGACATCTTAAAGGCTGATAAAACGCCCACGTGCACGTGTGGCGGGCAACTGGAAATACGAGACTTGACCTCATGGAAGAGATCTGGGCCAAAGACAGACATTTGAGACTTGTCAACATAGAACAGGTAACAGGACCACTGCCATTAGAACAAGAAAGAATATAGGCATCTGATGAGACTTTTTGCAATAAATAAATATGTAAATTACATATGTATATGCACATATATGTGTGTGGGGGGGTCTTAAATTGAAATGGGCTTAAATGGGTTGAAAATTTAGCTTTGGACTCCAATTTGTCACTCAAGCCCTATAAAACCCATTTCCTTTTTCTCTGCCTCAGTATTCCCATCTGTAAATGGATAGGCTATTAAGACCACCCAAAGGCTAAGTGATCAATATGTCATCACCACCTTCTAAAGATTCAATGGGCTCCACTTCTGTATAACCCTATCTGTAAAGACAGTTGCTCTCCAGTAGTTATCAAAGACCTGCAAAGACACGGTCCCACATTCTTCCTTGACAGCCTGCCGCAACATTCCCAAACCCACTGGTGAAACAAGAGTCTCTGATAAATATTAAGGAATTTTCCAAAGTCTAAAAGAGGGCTGGATTATTTTTGCACTGTCTCAGAAGCTACCTGTCCCTGCTGGATAAACATCAGGCCTATCACAGTAGCAGTGCCCTTTCCACGGGACACCGCGGCTTTACTCTCTCTCACTGAGACAAGCGTGGCCGACACACAGAGGCTGGGCCCGTGCCACCACCTACCCTGAGCACTGGGCAGGGCTTCACCAAGCCCCTGTTCAACTAGAAGGCCTGAAATTACGGAGGAGAAATTTTTAAAGAGCTGGAAATATTTGAAGGTATACTACACCCAGTGAAAAAAGCACATATGTATTTATGTTGTTTAAAAACACATTGAAACAACATGATACGTTTTCTAAAGCTGTATGCACAGAACAGGTCCTGAAGGCACGTGGTTCCCTAGGTGGGTGGAAATGACTTGGGAGGCGATCAGAGATTTTAGCCTTATCTTTCTTGTTTTTTACATGAAAGTTGCATTTGTGTATTGCTTGAAAACTGGTGTTAAAAAAGAAATAGAGAACAAGAGAAGCTGGGGGATTCGACTCAAGAGAAAACCCAAGGCTGGGGCCTGAGCCCAGCACTTCTCGTGTGGCAAGGCACGGTGGAAAGAGGAACAGGCTTCCCACCATTTACCGGATCGTTTCTTTGACTTCGAAGAGCCCTTGGATGACTTTTTGGGCTTCTTTATCCGTTGGTATTTCAGAGCCTCCAGCCTCTCAGGTGCAGCAGCATTCCCGGGTGCAGGTGGAAGTGTTCTGGAAGGGACAATTAGAGAGGACAGGTCAGCTCCCAGATGAGGGAGCTTTTGAAGAGGGGCTGGAAGAAAGGCAGATGGCTGCCCACAGGAGGAAAGGGTCCGTTCCACGGAGCCCAAGGTGTCCACGACGGCTCCCTGACACCTGCTTTTCTATGGCTCCTGGAAGGAAAAAACCCTGTAGAAAACTCCAGCAGCATGAACTACCTCAGATGGAACAGACCCACAGAGCAACCCTAGGAAAGGAAGAGAAAGAGACTTTAATAATAAGCCCTGTCCCACGTAACTCGAGCTGGGATGCGTCAGTGACAGAGAAGAAGCAGGTTCAATGTCTGAAGTTGCTGGAAATCATCACGATCAAGACCTTTGAATGAAAAGCAAAAGGGCAAATTAGAGCAGGAGGCGAGCAACACCCCTCCCCGCCAACTGCCCCCCATCTGCAGGGACGGGAAGGGCTGAATGGGAAAGCCAGCACGTGGGGGGATGCATGACACAAAACCCGGCTTCACCAGGCTCGTCCCCTCAGCTGCAAGACTCAGGCAGAACCTCACCAGCTGATGGCAACAAATACTTGTCATCTACCGCAGTTTCAGCAGGGTGTCTCCTTGACCTGCGGACGAGGCTCAGACCCTCCAGCCACGTAAGAGAACAGAAGAGGGTGGCAGGAGATTACGACAGAGCACCTGGGGCTGGCAGCCTCACAGGGCCCCTGCCATCCGTGACAAGTGTCAAGAGTCTCTGCATTCTAAGATCCCACAGAGAAACGGCGGTGGTTGGGAGAGGAGAACACGTATCAGGTCTCTCTTTCTCCACTGTGATTGTGAAATGAATTTTGTCATTTGCATGGTGGGTTGCCTACATGGTTAGGACGTGGTTGTCAATTCACCTGGAGCCCCTGCAGCAGCCCAGGTAGCAAAGGGGCCGAAGAGGACTGGGGAGGGGCGGTCTGCGACACTGTATACTGGAGAGAATTTTTCAAGAGTCATAAAGGAAGAAAACCTAGAAAACGCATTATCAATGCCATTTCTTCTCCAAGTTAGCCCAGCTGGGTGCCTGGGGAACAAAGGGGGAAAGAGAGAGATGGGTCACTCTGTCTCCCACCGCACTGGCATTAGCGCATGATCAGGGAAGCAGGGATGCTCTAGGGCCATGATGTATGGATGTGACTCACACTCTTCCTCACCTCAACCTTCATATCTCCCTCCCCCATCTCCACTGCAATTGGTTTTTGGTAAATCCTGATTAAAAGAAGTAGGACGGACAACACTGTGAGGGCAAAAGAAGTCCCCAGAGGTCTGCAGGCAGGCTGTCTGAGGTGAAAAAAATGTTAGAGGGATGGGAAAACTGCAGCCCACCACCCCAACATCAAATATCTTTGCAGGGAGGAGGAAAGAGGAAATGTACAGGCTAATTGTAGATAAGCCTCTCTCATCTCTGGGGATTACTGCATTAATTGCCAATGAAGTGACCTCCATCTTCGTTGAGGAATGTCATCATTCTATAGTCCTTTAGTCCATAAAGTATCAAGAAACTCCCCCAAAGTTCAGGTCAGAGACAATGTCTTCATTTCCCATAGCCCCTGCCAGCAGAGCTAAGCAGCTCACACAGGCATATGCTTCCCATGGAAAAGTAGTCCAACTCACCGTCAGAAGTCTCCCCCAAAGACCTAATAGGCCAATGCCACATTCCTTCCTCTTTTACAACCCCTGCAGGCTACCCACAGAGATCCTGCACCACCGCAGCAGCTGGCAGGGAACGGTGAAGGCAGACAAAGGGTGAGAGGCCTAGGGCAGCAGGGAGTGTGCCTTGCCAATGCTGGTGGAGTGTCTTCACCCCCTCCTTGACTAAGGCTTCTTCCTGCTGCCTAAAAGGAAAATCAAAGACATGAACCCACCCATTCCGTTGACCTCTGTCTTCTGGTCCTGGCCAGCCTCTTCAAAAGACTGCACAAGGTGAGCAACACATGCCTGGGCGGGCACACAGTGGGCACGACCAGTGCCTCCAACCCCGCCCTGGCCTAGTAGGGCACAAGAGAAACTGGGACAGGGAACCCCCGTGGGGTCTTCAAGCCAGGTGAAGCTGCCAGGCTGATCTGGTTGTTAGAATCAACACCTTGCCACTCTTTAACTTTTATCATCTAGCACTGATTTACCACTTACCATGTCAGGCACTGTCCTATGTTCTGTACGAGAACTGCCTTTAATCTTTGTAGCAACCCTAAAAGGTAACTACTACATTGAGCCCCATTTTCAGATGAAGAAACTGAAGTTAGAGAGGTTAAGCAACTTGTCCAGTAATCCAGTTATGCGAGAGAACCAAGCCTCTTGGCTAAACTGGTCTTCAAACTTCTTCCCTATAAACATAGCTATAGACGCTGTATAGAAGAAAAACACTGCATCCACCCCACACCTGAGAAATAAATCTGCCCTGCAGTGCACTAGCAGCTAGTCACTCCTCTTCTCTGCTTCAGTGGTAGAGCCAGGGTAAGACAGACCAGGGGTAGGGAAAATCTGGCAGAAGTTATATCTTCAGACAAAAATTCCCAAACAGTAATGATCCATTGAGAAGGAGAAGCCAATTTTCCCTTGAGAAACAGCCAAGCTACAGCCCTTCCAGGACACCTGCTGCCCACCTGTTTCAACTCTTGGCTCAGGGCTCAAACACAGCCACAGGACAGAAAAAGCCTCCTGGAAACACCAAGACACTCACCCAAGGCAGGAGGAAAAAATAAAAGCAAGTGTCTGGCAGGACGGACATGAAATGTGATCCAACAGACTACAACAGCACGTAAAGGCTTCTTGGAATCAAACTGCCTCCCCTTACTAGAAACGCTGACCATGTCCACTGTCGATGTCCACCCAGGACCCTTCCAGGAATGCAGCTTTTGGTCCTGATGCCACAATGGGAAGCTTGAGTTAAGCAACTCCATCCTATCCCTAGAACCAAGCTGCTGCATAAACCTGATTTTGACCTGTAGGTTACCCTCATACAACAGATTCCAACCCTGGGCTTTCCAAGAAGTTGAGGTCACAGTTCTCTTTCCAGTTGGCCAAAATTCTGGCCAAAATTCCTAAACATACAGGAATGTACCAACTCTGGGGCTTTCCTTCTCCCAGGAAGTCAGGGTATTGCTGAAAGAGGAAGGCCTCAAAGCCTAGGCGCGGTGGTATTTCTTGCAGTTCAGAACTAGAAAAAATTGCCTGGAATTTAGTTTACTGCTCCCTTTTTTTCTTTCTCTCTTTTCAAAAAATCCATACAAAACCTAAATCATGCCCATGTAGCCCAAGTGGTCTTAATTGCCTCGCTCTCTGCTTACCCAGAGGAGCTGAGGAAAGATGCAGCCAGGTTCAGGCAAACCTCAGGACGGGAAAGTAAAACCCATCTGGACATTTCCTGCCCTTCAGGCCTGGGAACTGACCATTAACGCCCAGTTTCATCCTACCTCGGTCAACAGGTCAAGCAGTGGCTTAGACGGCATTTTCCTCCTCTTCTAACTGCCTGAGAGCAAACTCCATTTGCCTGATTATGCATTTTGCAGACGGGAGGCAGAGGAAGCCCACTCGTGTACAAGCCCCGGCCAGGGAAACGGTGGCTCCATCCTCCACGTCCACGTGGAGAGCCAGGGGCCTGCAGGCCTGCACCCACCCAGCCTAGCTACGAGGTGGGACCTCGACAGTGGGGTCAGCGCTCAGGCCCCGTGCTCTGCCTGGGAACTGGCAGGGGCTTGTTTCCAAAGTGGGGCTCCTTCCTACGGCTCCCCGGCCACACCCACGCTCCTGGACCGAGGCCTCGCCGAGGTCACTGCAGGTCTCAACAGGGAAGGGGATTAGAAGATGTGGGGACAGGGCACTACTAGCACCACACGGGGGGCTAAGGATTGGCACGGCCGCCCCGCAGTCCACAAACGGGACAGGCCTACTCCCCACGTTGAGATAGGAGTTAGGAAAGGAGAAAAACGGAGAGAGAAAAGCGGAGAGGCAGAGAAACAACTACAGGCGTGGGCAGAAGAAACAGGAAAGAAACTGAAGGGAAAAGAAACAGCGAACGCACGTAGACAAGAGGTGTCACAACTTCTCCAAGCAAGACCAAGGGGGACACATGCAAGGCGCAGCATGAAGACAGCATCTACGGAGGAGCCTGCAGCGCCCACGGCCCAGCAGCTACTGCACCCCGGGAGGCTCTCAGCAAGCGGCAGAGCGAGGGCTCCTGCTGCCGGCACCAGGAAGGGCTGACCTGAAGGAGGCAGGAGGATTTCCTTCTCCTAGGCTGGGGTGCAGCCAGGCCCAGGAGAGGGACAATGGTCCATCATCACTGCCCCTGGTTTCTGGGTTTGCCACAGCAGGGACAAGCTAACTGGGCTCTCTTGGGTCTGGCCCAGTGGGGGCCCTGGGGAGAGAGGGGGCCAACAGAGTCGGTTGAGGGAGAGAGGAAGTAACAAAAGAGAATGGAGTCCAGGAAGCTTCTAGAAGCTGGGTGAGTGCTGGTCTAGAGCGTTCACACCTCCAGGGCACAGGGAGGGAGAATGAGGGAGGTGGAGGGCATCCCGGAGCAGGTGAGCTCATGAAAGCTTGCTCCCTCCCATGGCTGCAGGGTGGGAGCCTGGCAGCCTCCCCTCAATTCTGGGACCTCTGGGCTGCTGATAATTTCATAGCTGTAGATCATAAAGACAAGCCAACGCAGTCCTCTTCATGGGAGGCCACTCCTATGATTGCACGAGATTTACAGTCCTGCATTAGGGGGACCAGCCTCCCTGGACATCTCTAGGTAGAAGGGATGTAGCTACTTTTTGCCTGGGAAAGCCAAGAGCGCCAGGTGGGAGGCTCACTCTCTGCCCCCAGGTGCCCGCTGCCTGCATGGGCATGCTCCCAGGGGCACGGGCAATGGAGGCTACAGCAAAAACAAGCACCTTCCAGGTTACTGTGAGACAGAGTGAGCCTCAGGTGGCTCTAACTCTCGCTAAGAGACTTGACAGTCCCTAAAATGCCCAGGCTTCTTTAGCGTCCACCTGGAAGGCTGCTAGAGCAGGGTCAGCCCTGGTGGGGCAGAGGGAGGGACGCAGTGCTGATCCCCAGGGGTTTTCTTCTCTTGCCAGGGCAACACCCTTCTGCCCCAGGGACGCCTGCCCTCTCCCCCTGGGAAGGTCCTCCCCAAATCCCTTCCCTACAGCATGGCCCAAGGAAGTCAGCACAGCCACTACAGGGATCTTAAAAGCAATTTGGACCCAAGGGTGAGGTCACATTCCAGTCCTGTGACAACCAAGAACAGGCTGCGAATGCCAGGCGCACAGGGAAGTGGTGACACTTCCTGCTCTAGCCCTGGTAGGACTTTAGGTGACCCGACCCTGAGGAAGACCTGCTCTTGAGGGAAGACGTGGGCCACACGTCAACGCTGTGCTCCTGGAGAGGCCCTAACGTCGTGAAGCGCCTAAGAAGGCAGTGAGGGAGGAGCCACCCCAGAAGAGCTTTTCTTCTCTTGCCAGGGGGCTGAGGAGGAAGGAGGGGCACACTGTGCCTGGGACTGCTGGGAAAACGGGGCGGGGCTGTCCGGACACCAGTGGCCCCACAGCAGGCCCCAGGGGTGCAGGGGTGCAAAGCCGATGTCGGGCGCCTGGGTCCCTTGGGGTACATGCAGGCCCTGGGCTTCTGGGGAGGCCCTGGGTGTGTGGGCAGCAGGCTGGCGAGGTGTCTGAGTGGGGGGCCTACGGGGGCTCTGGGGCGCTGGACATGGGGTGGCCAGAAGCTGCAGCGAGGCGGGCGCCTGAGCCAGCGTGGCCCGGTGAGGCAGCCGGAGCGGCACGATGTGGGGAACCCAGAAGCCGTGAGGATCGAGGAGCGGCACTGCCACCCCAGGGGCGGTGAGGGGACGTGGTTCGGATCCCCTGTCCGGGAAGCGATGGCCCTGCCGAAGCCCCTCCGCCTGCCCGCCCCCGCCCGCCCAGCCGAGGAGCTCCCTTACCTATTGAGCTGAGGAGAGGCTTGTCTCGACAACACTGCCCAGATAGCTGAGATCAATCAGAAACAAAGCAGTTATCAACACCGGCCGGGGGCAACTGCCCACGCACACCCAGAGGGAGCAGGGGGGGAGCACAGCGAGCACCGACAGGCCAGGCCAGAGAATGGGTGAGGGAGGAGAGGAGAGAGACGAGACCCAGACGCACGATGGGAGGAAGCAGATGAGCGGCTGCACAAGCACACACGGGGCTGCCAGACAGCGTCTGCAGGCAGGGCCGGGCCTGGCTGGAGCTCTCCTGCGCCCGCCACCCGCCGCGCCCTTCTCCTCCCCAGCCCGGTGGGCCGAGGGTGGGAGGCGAGCTTGCATTTCCAGGTACCAGAGAGGGTGGGGGACGGGGGCAGGGGAGAGCGCGGGGCTCCCACCTCGGCCACCCCATCCTGCCTACCACCAGGCCAGCCTGCTCTGGAACTCTCCGCTCCCTCCACAGGCGGCTACATCAAGAAGAGAGACCAAAGGACGGAGCCAGAGAGAGAGAGAGAGAGAGAGAGAAGGGGAGGGGAGGGCATCCAGGGCCACGGAGACGTGGCAGGCTCTTCTGAGCAAGTCGGGCCAACCCAGAGACGATGGCGAAGGAAGGAAGATGGGCAGAGAGAAAGACTGACTGGAGAGGACGGGGAGGGCAGGGCAGAAAGACGAGAGAAGAGGAGGCACAGACAGGTGTCCAGGCTCTGGTACCTGGAATACCAGCTGCTACAGTTTAGAGAGTGCTCTCTCAGGCAGGCTGATCGCGGGAGCTTGTCTGTCTGTCTGTCTCTCTGCAGCTTCCTGCGAGGCACACAGGGGTGGGGTGTGGCTCCCGCACACGGTCACAGGCCTGAGACTTTCCCGGCCTCCAGGACGCACCACTCCAGGAGAGGCCGTGGAGGGGCTGGAGTCCGGCGCTCACTAACGCTGCCAAGGGGCAGAGTTTGGGAACAGGAGGCGCCTGGCCTGCTGGTCCTGGGAAGCCAGGTTCCAGGTATGGTCCTACTTAGCAAGGAGGAGGGGCCGGGAGGAAAAGGAGGCTGGACACACCACTGCCCGACGCCAGGATCGCGGGGACGTGGAGAGCCCTCAATGCCAAGAGGGGCTGGGCGTCCCCTCAGAAGCCACCTGCTCTGATACGCCATGCCCCCTTCCTCCGGTGATCCGCTCCCAGGAGCGTGTGGGCCTCTGGGAGCCCTGGGCCAGGGGAAGAAGATCCCTCACACTGCTGGCAGGGTACCTGGGCAGGTAAGCCCCGCCACCCGCACCCACAGCCTGCCAATGCCGGGCCGTGGCGGCCAGAACTCCTCTCCCAAGGGGATGCTGCAGCATGTCGGAACAAGCCCTGTCGTCGGTGGATGGACGGGTGTGGGCGGGGCGGCATGTGGGGAGGGAGGCTGATCGGGTGCGGGCGGCAGGTGCTGCTCACACTCACCCTGAAGTAGGTAAAGTGGGTGGCGGGGGCTCCGGTCGGAGCAGTTCTTCCCCCATCCTTCGAGGGGAAGGCGTCTGTCCAAACACATCCAAGTTGTCCCCAGGCACGGCAGGCGCGGGGCCCGGCGGAGGGGAGGGGTAGCCTGTGGCCAGAGTGGTGAAGCCCATGGCCGGCCGGTAGCTGGGGCTCCCGCTGCGGCTGCTCTGGGAAGGGGAGCCCGTGGACGGCGTGGACTTGCGGGAGAAGCTGACCGCAGCTGGCGGCTGCAGGGTGATCTCCGACATCTCCGCCTGCTGCAGGAGGCCCGGGCGAGGCCGGGCGCGGGCAGCGAGCTCGGGGGAGCCGGTGCGGGAGCTGAGGGGGCTTTGGGTCAGAGGTGAGAGCCGGGAAGGCTGTAGCACCACTTGATGTAAACTAGGCTCGGCGCGCCTGGCCTGCCGAGGGCTGGGCCGGGGCCGGGGCTCATACCACCGGGTGTCCAGGCCAAATGTGCTGGGGCCACCCTGCCCCCCCGGCTCGGCCGGCTCGGGGTAAGGCAACACAGGTATGCCCATACCTTGGCTGGTATGTCTTAGCTGCCCTTGGCTCGCCAGGGGTTGCATAGGTCTGTCCTGCCACTTGGCGGCGGGGGGCACTGGGACAGGGCCCCTGCCGGGCGACTTGCCCGCCCAGCCCTTGGGTGCCTCCAGGGACAGGATGCCCGGGTAAGCCGCGGGCACCTGCAGGGAGCTGGGGGGCAGTCCTCGGGGGAGGCAGGGCTTGGGCTGCAGACTCTCGGCGACGTCACAGGGGTGCAGCTGGTGGGGGAACATCATGGCTGGGGCTTCCAGCCCCCCAAAGGGGAATTCTGGCCGGCCCCAGGGCTCAGGGGAGCGTCCCCCCGTAGGCGTCTGAGTCAAGGGCAGCGTGCTGTTGGAAGCATTCTCTCCGTTCTCCTCGGGGATGGTGGGGTGGCCGAAGGGCCCCTCGCTGTGCAGGGGCGGGGATGACAGGACAGAGCTCAGGGGGCTGCCCACTTCTGGCACGTAGAAGGGGGGTGGCTCGACCTCCCCAGGGCTGCTGCTGCTGAGGTACCCATAATACTGGCCATGGTGGAAGGGCCGGGGGGCCGGCGGCCTGGCCTGGCCTGTGGCCTGGAGCCGACCCTCCAGGCTGCCGGGACCCTCCAGCCCACGGGGCTGGAACCGGGGGCTGTATGCTGGTGGTGGCAGGTAGGACTCCTGGCTGGATGACAGAGGGGTCAGCTGGGACTTGAGGGCAGCCACAGAAGTGGGCACCAGTGGGTCCTCATTCTCCTCGTCCGACTGGCGGAACTCCGGGTACATGTCTGTCTCTTCCGCGAAGGGGAAGCCCTCGATGTGCCTGCTCTTCATGGAGGGCTCCATCTCGGCGGGGTCCATCACAAAGCGGCCGTCGGGCCCCCTGCTGATGAGCTCGATAGGGGTGGTGGCCTCTGCCTCCGCCTCGGCCTTGGCCACGCTGTACTTCTTGCTGCTGATGGCCCTCTTGGTCTTCTTATACAATGACAGCTCCTTCTCCCGGGTGGGGCTCAGCATCCTCTTGGCCGCGGGCTGGCCCTGGTCATCGGAGGACTCTGACGGGGCCCGGAGCGTCCGGATGCTCTCGGGGCTCACCTTGCCGGAGGACAAGCTGCAAGGAGCGAGAGCCAGGAGGCCTGAGGCGTGGGGGCATGCTGGCCTAGGGCTTCCCGTCCTCCTCCCAACAACCGGCCGACTCCTAAGAAGGCGATGCTGGAGAAGCCGGCTGCGTCTCTTGCTGAGGAGGGAGAGACTTGGCCGTCTCCACTGTCCGGCGTGCCCCAGCCTTCTTTGCAATGAGCACCCCTGTGCCTTCGCTCCGCCTGCCCCGCGTCTGCACCCCCGCCCAAGCGCACCTCCAGCTCCACTCCCGGCTTGTGCAACAAACACAAGCTCATTTTAATACCAGCTGGAGCAAGACATATTAAGAAGGCATGCCTGTTAGGATGGAGACAAATTAGACACATGCCTTCCAAGGCTAGAGAGGAATGGATCACTCGCTAATTTGGACTATTACTTTAGCGCTCCCTCTCTCAGTATGGACAACTTAAACACGTGGGTCAGGTAACAGTCAACAGCTTAGAAACTTGGAATTAGGACTGGGCAAGGCAAACCACCCAGCTCCTCCCCACATCCCACCGTATGGTTCGCCCAGGGTCAGACACACTTACGGTGACTCCAGGCTCTTCCTGCAGTGAGTGATGGAGAGTGGAGGGTCTGGAAGAGAAGAGAAGGGGACAGAGCCCACTGAGGCCTGAGCCGCCAGCAGCGTGGCCCCTCCTGCCCGGGGTGAGCAGGGCACAGCAAGTGCAGAGGGGAAGAGCTGCTTTCACGTCGGGCATCTTTGGGCCCAGCTCAGAAGCCCCTGCCCACCCAGCCCTGCCTTTGTGCTAGCCTCTCCCCACCACCCCTGCTTCCTTACTCCCTTTTTCAAATCCAGTCCCATTGGCAGCTCTGCCCACAAGACCCCAGTGTTCCCATCTCCAAGGGGAGTTCATGCTAACAATGGTCCCTCTCTCCTGATGGGGAGCATCCGAACCAGGCTAGGTGGGGAAGGGGACCGACACCCACTTTTTGTTTTTTGAGACAGAGTCTCACTCTGTTGTCTAGGCTAGAGTGAGTGCCGCGGCGTCAGCCTAGCTCACAGCAACCTCAATCTCCTGGGCTTGAGCAATCCTCCTGCCTCAGCCTCCCGAGTAGCTGGGACTACAGGCATGCGCCACCATGCCGGGCTAATTTTTTCTATATATATTAGTCGCCCAATTAATTCCTTTCTATTTATAGTAGAGACGGGATCTCACTCTTGCTCAGGCTGGTTTTGAACTCCTGACCTCGAGCAATCCGCCTGCCTCAGCCTCCCAGAGTGCTAGGATTACAGGCGTGAGCCACCGCACCCAGCCCGACACCCACCTTTTTTGCGCTTGAGCTTACGCTTGCGCTGCTTGTTGACAAAGCAGGCGGCGAGGGTGCTGAACAGGATGGCAGCTGCCAGGAAGCAGATAGTAGCTACAATTCCAGCCAACACAGGCCGCGCCAGCCCGTCCGCGGTCAGGTCCGGCTGTGGGAAGATGTCTGCAGGGAGGGCAGAGGGCACTTGAGTCCGCCCCTCCCCTGGGCCGCCACCGCCCTAACACACAGCGCTCGAGACCCCTGCCCCGCCTCTGAGGACAGGCAGTACTGAGGCTCAGGCCCCACACTAGGCTCTACCTGGAGAGGCCTGCACGGCACATGACGAGGGTACGGGAGGGTCCCCACAAGTCAAGTAATCTTCACATAGCTTCTAAAAAAGACAGGTATCTACGCCTTACTTCGACGACAATCCGTGCTTGCTGGTGCTTGACATTTTGCAAAGCACTTCCATGCAGGTTATTGGGCCTTCTCGCATTACCCCCATAAAGTAGACAGAGCACACGTATTATTCCCACTCTCTAAGTGAAAAAGCTCCGACCTGCTTAGCTGGAGAGACTAGCTTATGTAGACACTGCCTTCAGTCCCAAACCAGAACCCAGCGTTCTGACTTCCAGTCTGGGATTTTCTGCCTTCCACCATGCTGCCTCCACAGAGTGAGAGCCCAGGTGTGAAGGCGCCTTGAAGGTAAAATACTATAGCAGGGAGAGGGATTATAACAATAGAATTCAGATCCACCCATCTTTTAACCCCGTAGGCATGCAGCTCTCTACAGGGAGGATTAGCATACTCTGGTCAGCTCAGGTACAGAAGAACGCTACAGCTGGCAGGGACAGAAGAAATGAGCCCGATTCTCTCTTCTTAAGTAGAGAACTGAGGCCCCCTTCATGTCTCAATTCCCAGAGCTCATTAATGGCACAGCCAGGACGAGCCCCCGGCCTGTGTATTATACCCATAGGACAGTTACACCAGTAAGTGCCACTCTAGGTTCATCGTGGGGAAAATCGATATATTGTGATATATTTGGCCAGAATCCATTGCTACATCAATAATAACAGATAAAAATCGTTGAAATTATGCTGATTGGTTGAGTGGAAAATGAACGCTACAGCTGTCAGAAGGGAGAGCCCTAACTACAGGGAATGCTGAGGTCACTGCGTCCTCGTCCACCATGTGGAATGGTCTGACTAGGCAAGCTTCCTTCCGGGAGCCGGGCAGGAAGCCACTGGGAAGAGAACAGGCACTGAGGTGAGCCTGCAAAACGCTCAAGTCTTCTACTCTGGCCTTGGCTGTTCCTCCATCTTTGCGTCTCTTCCTGGAGAGAAGCCAAGACAGAAGTACTCCGCTTCTGCTGCCTATAGGAGGACAACTTTCTTTTTTAAAAAAGTCTGGTGGCCCCTAATGGAAGAGGCAGACATCACAGCCCACTCCGGCGATCGCACGCCACTGCAGACTGCGCACACCGGTGCCCTCCTGGCTCTGCAAGTGCTGCTGCACTGCTGCGTGGCCAAGATCCGTCCACCGGGTCCCGGGGCTCTGGGCGGGCAGCGCCTAAGGAAGCGGCGCCGTCGCCTGCCCGCTCTCCCTGTAGCAAGGGTGCTCCTTCACTTGGGGAGGACCCTGCCACGTTTCAGGGACTGTAGCTGGAGAGATGTGTAGCAATGGGACCAGGGCCAAGAGAAAGGAAGATAAATGGAGAAAATGCTAGGGAGTTGGCTTTATTTAGCCTGAAAAGATCTAGGGAGAGGAAGGAAAGGAGGCAAACAACAACAAACAACAATTTTCCAAATAAAACCCATGTAATTATAAAGAAGCCTATAACAGGCATTCAATAAAAGCTTGACCTGTTGTTCCTTCCCACTGATTCACGGCCCCACCCGCATTCCAGAGGATAGCACTAGAAGAAACCAAGAATGTATAGCAAGTAGCGCTTACATCAAGTCCTTTTTGATCACTATAAGATTAGTTGAATTTCTTTATGTGGCTATCTTACAGGTGTGTCGGAAACCTAAGTTGGATAAAATCCCACGCGTCACATAAGCATGGATCCCATGGGCTTAAGAAATGCCATGACTCACGCGGTTTCCGATGCAGCCTCTCCTCCCCTACTAGCTATTTAGCAAAGGGACTCCCATGCAGCTCTGGGGCTTACGTCCCTGCAGTTGAAAGAGAAGCGCCGCCCCCGAAGTACCTGTGCTGGAGACGCCGGCAATGTTGCTGGGCTCGCTGATCAGATCCTGCATGACAGCCAGAACCCGGAACTCGTACCAAGTGTCCTACAGCCCCAGGGACAACACCCTGTCGGTGAGGGATCCCAGACAACCATGGCCCCTCCCCCCTGGCCCTGCACATGGCCTCCCACGGAACGCAGAGCCCAGCACACTGCTCAGCACTGCTGAGTGTCTGACAGCAAGTGACTGGTAGCAGTGGCCAACTGCTGTGTGTAGACACTCCCACCATGGCTGGTTTCAAGCTAAGAATGTGAGATCACTGAAAGAGGTGGGAAGAGATACACACAACGGGCTCTCAAGGGCCACTGTGAGCCAATTGCAGCATGCCACTAAATGAGTGCCCAGGGAAGGAAGGGAGAAAGAGAGATGAGATTGTCCCTGTCCATGAAGCAAGCTGCTTCCTCTTCCCAGCCAGAGAGAGATCCAAATTTAAAGAGGATCAGCTGGAAAACAGATAATGCATCTTCCTCTAGGGGTTCTAAATTGTTAAAAGAGGGGTCTCTTTCCTGGGCAAACCTAGGAGACAATCCTTCTGGGAATTGCCCTGCCCCCCCCCCCCAAGGTGAGACTTAGCAGGGAGCTGAGGCCAGTGATCTGTCTGTCCATGCTGGCCTCTCTGCCTGCCCTGCCCCACGTGTGTCAGAACTTGGGGAAAATCCTCAATGCAGCTCAAGTTCCCATGGCCACCAAGCTGGCCCTGAATCTGTGGGACCTCTGCAGCCAGGACCTGCGGAGTCCAAGCCTCAGCAGCAGATATGGAAAACCCAGGAACAGTGGTGAGGAGGTGCAGCACGTGGCTTGACCTCAGTCTGAGCAGCTCACTCAAAGCTTCTAGTGGCTCTAGAGTCACGTCACTTCCACAATTTGGGAAGAAGCAGCAAGGAAAAGCAAAGCCCTCACCTGTGACAGATCCTTGGCAAAGAACTCTGCATCAGTGCCCGGGATGGCATCGTCAAGCATCTCCCAGCGCTCGCCGACGCGGAACTCCATGATGTAGCGGTCGATGGGATAGCTGTGGTTGGCAGGCGGGAGCCAGGACAGGAGCACACCCTGCTGAGTCCGGTTAGCTATGAGGCACCTCGGTGGGGTGACCAGCACCAGGGGTTCTGGAGTTGTGACAGGGAATGCTGTGGCAGGGAGAGGGGAGAAGGGGGATGGCATCAGAGCGATGAGGTCACCACGGCCCCCACGCTCCTGCACACATCATTCCCGGGGCAAGAGGGAAGGGAGGTCAGGGCCAGTGGGGCCAGAGCTTCATGATTCTGCGTTCAGAGTTCTGCTAGAGAACATGCACGAGGGAACCATGAGGCTCAAAAGGGGGGAAATGGGAAAGAGGGAAGGAGGAAGAATGCAAGGGGAATCAAAGTCTCTCTTGTGCTCTTCCAAGGAGCTGGGTGTATCTTCTCACAGCACCCTGGTCACTCACAATTCCCTTCCTGGCCCCGGGGGACAAAATGAGGCCTAGCAGAGGCGCTGAGAGCCGGGTGAGCAGCCCACCCTGGTGGCTGTTCAGGAGAGGACTGGGGGACAGGCGGGGTCGCGCGCCCGCTCCACCTGGGAGGAGCCTGTTCCCAGCGGCCCTCCCCACCCCCCCACCCAGGACAGCAGATGCCACCGCGCTAGGCAGGGAGAAGTGAGCGACTGGGTCCAGGAAGGAAAAGCTAGCATGTCCTAAACGACTCCACAGCTAGAGTCGGCCACACGCCCGCCACCGCACAGGGCTGGGGACAAAGGAAAGGGCCTGCGGGCAGGGCCCAGGAGGAAGGAGTCCCAATCTCCCCTGTAAAGCCACAGAAGTTGCAAACATGTGGCCTCACAAGGAAGAATAAAATTCTAAGCCTCTTTCTTCCATGTAAAAACACAACAGGAATCTGGCCAAAAGTGTTCTGAGATGGGGCAAAGCCCCTGGAAGGGTACGACAAGTCCATACCGGGAGACCATGAAGCACTGAGCAAGGTGCCAGCATGCGGTAGGCCACACGTGTTCATCGCTGGGCCAGCCCGCTCAGCACCTCTCAGCCCAGCTCCCCCGGAAACAGCCTCCAGACAGCCCAGGGGCCCTCACCTAAAGTGTTCACAGTGACCACCTCACTGAAGGCGCTGGTGCCCAGCTTGTTCTGGGCCAGGACGCTGAACTGGTATGCTGTCTCAGGCTCCAGGGTGTCCACCAGCAACCAGCTGGGTCCCGGCGGCACCGGCAAGGACAGCCAGTCATGGGGCCCAAACTGTGCCCGCTTCATCCTGGCCAAAACAAAGAGAGAGGGCAGGGAGCAAGGGGCCGGGTGGGTTATACTGGAGAGAAGAGAGTGCGTGCAAGGTCCTCACGGAGAAGGCAGTGGTGGGCCTGGCGTTCCGGGTTCAGGGCCGGAAGAGGGGATGAGAGAAGGGAGACCTGCCTGGCTGTGGCCACGCCAATCCTCATGATGCCAGGTCACCAGCCACGGCTGGCACCTCCTCCTCTGAAAGGGCCCTTAGTTGTGAGCCATGCTCACGACTTGCCATGGTACCAGTCGCACTGTGGGAGAGTCCGCCCTGGGGACAACCCCAGCAGTGGGCTCTGCCTTGGGCGGGCAAGAGCGCTGGGAAGCAGGGAGGCACAATTCAGCAGTGACGGGGCTAGGGGGGAACCCGGTGACTTGGCTGCCACTCAGGGACAGTTAAAAGTGGGACCCAGCATAACCCACAGGCTCCCTCAGTCTGGTGTGATTTGGATCATCTGAGGACATCCAGGGCATGTGACAAAATGCCCAGTGTCTCCCCACAGTGGGACAAGGGTCCCTAAAGCCTTCAGTGTTAGAGATCACAGTGCAGGCAAGGTCACAGCACGCGTGGAGGGCCCCGAAACCAGGCTGAAGGTTTTCCTTGGCTCTATCACCCCAGCTCCCAACAAGCGGTACAGCCAGCGAGCAGCAGGTGCAGTGCCACCACGTCACCACAGGGGGGAGACGTCGTCCCGTGGGAGTGGCCCTCTGCTGCAGCCCTGAGCGTAACTCAGCCGGTGCCCACCGGGTTCCCCTCAAGGTATAAAGGCTGCTACCATGTATGCCCAGGAGGGTGAGCTGAGCCTGCAGAAAGCACAGCAGAAAGAAGCTAGTGCCAAATGCCTGAGTCATTACTCGGGGAGTTAGAGGCAGCCAGAAAGAAAGGCGGGAAGGAGACCTCCCCTAACCCTGGCACCCGCCCTTCCCGCCAGGGCACTAAAGCAGTGAGCGGCATGTGATGGCGCGATGCAGATGAGCAGCAGCGTGGGGCGAGCCACAAGCAGCAAGGGAGCCCCTTGTCTGCACAGACCTTCCACTCGGGCATCCCCAAGGAAGGCCTGGCTGTGCCCAACACCCCTCCCCTGGCATGCAGCCGCCTGGCAGCACCACGGTCTGCAGCAGCCACTGGGCAGACTCGTGAGGAGCCCCCCAGCCCTGCTGCGGGAGGAGGAAGGACGAAGGGGTGGGAGAGTGCTCTGGTTACAGCTCCCACCCTGCAGGTGCATTCATCTGTCCAGAACTCAAGATGCCCAGGAAATTAGCACCCAACCCCCACGACAGGCAACAAGGAAGTTCCCGTCTCAACTTCCCTCACTGTTGAGAATGTATCGAGGGTCTCCTGAATTCCCTGAGTTCCCCTCTGGAGTCTCATGTTTCCTCCTCCCGGGCTCTGGCTGGCAGCACAAGCCCAGGTGAGACGGGCCTGAAGCAGGTGGTGAGGGGGCTCGTCCTCCAAGGGGTCGACCAAGGGTGTCACCCATGAGGCAAGTGGCCACAGTTCTTGGCTCGGGACAGGAGTGTGGGGAAAGAGCGGCCCTGGGCTGATGGGAGGAGGTCAGCAGGGCCTCTCTTTCCTCCTCTCCTGGGCCCCCTATGCTCACCCTGATTCATGCATTTTTGAGATTTCTATGTCCCCTAAGGCTTGGGGACACTGCACCTGGCTACATTCACAACAGAGGAATAAAAGCAAGAGGGAAACACAGTCTTAGAGAGAAAGTGCCGCTGCTGAACACAACCAGGATGGGGAGCATCACTTCTCCACTCTGGGTTCTGGGCCCCTGTGGAAGGGACAGACGGCAAAGCAGACTCTACCCTTCAGGCTGGGCTATTCCACAAAGCTCTCACAGATTAGGAGTCTCTCCCAGACTCCAAGGAACCACAAGAAATGAAGTCGGGCACAAAACAGGGAGCAGGGGACCAGCCAGGAGGGGCAGCAGAGAGTGCTGACGGTTTGGGCCACAGCCCAGACGGGCACCCGAACCGCAGGGCTGGGACACGGCCCTGTCCAGAGGCGCTCACAGACCACAGGCAGCCGCCGCCCACAAGAACCGGTCGCTGCCTCGGCCCACCTCGCTGTCCGCAGGTCTGTCAGGAGCGGAGCCACGCCCCCCGCCTCCCCCCACACGGGAAGGCCTGCTGTCGGGGGGAGGGAGGAAGCAGAGAGCAAAGCGTGCGGGGGTGACTCACAGAGGTCCGTACCAAACTGAGAATGTCTGTTCATATCCTCCGTCATAGCCGGGTTCCCAGGACACGTTGGCAGTTGTCATGGAGACCTGGACCCGGACACTGCCCGGGGCATGGGGGCTGGTGCCTGGAAGCCAAGCAGAGACCGCTCAGACTGAAGAGAACTGGGCCCGTGGTGCTGGGGCCCACAGTCTCACTGCGGGGAGCCCCAGTGGCAGCAACGTGCAATACTGCAAGTGACATTACTGGGGACGAGGGGATGCTCTTAGTGCTGGCTCCCCGCCCCTACTGGTTAGCAGGGCTGGGGAGGGAAGCCCACCCCACTGTGCAGTCTGCTGTGACTAGATCGCAGGAGCATCAGGAACGTGGGCCAAAGGAAAACCAGAACGCTCCCGATCCCAGACCCAAATCCTGTGTTCCTTGGGCAAGCCAGAAACACTGTCCCCTAAAGTCCCAGGCAAAGCCAAACAGTCCCCTCTCCTGCAAAGCTCTCTGGCCTCACGAGACAGCCACATTCCACCCGAACCCTGGCGTGAGAGGCAGCACGACACAGCAGGTAAGATCTTCAACTGGTGTTTGAGTCCTGGGCCCAGCACTTACTAGAGACGGGACCCAGGGGAGGGGTGCCAGCCACGCCAGCCTCGGTTTCACCGAGCATCAATGGGGGAAGCATCAGCACCCACCTCCTGAACTATGAATGGTGAGGGCTGCAGACCCTGGGTAGGTACAGAGCCTAAAGCTGCTAGTAACAGCCCAAAGTGTTGGCTGTGGTCACAATCATAGCTGTCAGGACTCAGAGGGACAGGCTGCAAGGGCAGGTGAGGTCCTGGGGACACCCACCTCAAGCCATCAAAAATGGGAGCACCAGGGAGAGACGTCCCCCCACCCAGCCCCAGGCCCCAGGTCTCAGCTCGGCGTCCCCATCCAAGATGCCGCATGGCCCACTCCTCTGCATCCTAGTGTATCCAGCTTGCTCCCGGGCCCTCCAGCGGGGCGTGTCCACAGTCACTGCCAGCTACACAGCTGCCTCTTTGCTGGATCAGAGCGGGTGCTGGGCACACCCGCCCGTCCCCGTCAGGGGAAGACCTCGAGGATAAGACCTTCCCTTACAGAGCCCACACGGGTGAGGGCTGCACGTGTTGGACTCTTGGCTCAGGGGCTGGACTGACTTCAGAAAGACACCGCAGAGGACAGACAGCCACCATGGGACGCCGCCAGCATGCAGCACCTGACCCCTGCGGGCTGCGTACCGATGACGGTGAGGTGGGTGCTGGCAGTGATGCTTGTGACCACATTGGTGGCGACACATTCCCACTCCCCGTGGTCCTCCTTACTCAGGGCGCGGAACTGGAGACTCCCGCTGGGCAGGGCGTTGTGCTTGCTTCTGCTGGGCTTCCCTACCTTGGCCAAACAAGGGGCAGGGAAGAGGGTGGGGACAGAAACGGAGGTGAGGAGAGAAGCACCAACCCTTGATGCTGCCCTGCTCCAGGGCGCCCACTGCTCTAGGAAGTCGCCTCACTGCTCGGCACAGAGCAGGAACAGAACCGGGCACTGGGGCCCCGCCACCTCCCCCAGGGCCCAGGAGCCCCAGAGCCCAGGTACCTTTCTCCACGTGATGACAGGGAAGGGGTCCCCTGCGGCCGCACAGGGGATGAGCAGCTCCCGGCCGGCTTCCTGCCTGTACTCCCAGCCTGGTAGCACCGTGAAATACGGGGGGTCCTGGGGGAGGGCACAGGCACTCACATGGAGCCGGGTGTTCGGGTACATGTGTGCACGCAGGCCGCTGACAGCCCCGGGGCCTCACCTTCAGGACAAGCCGCGCAGGAGCAGACTGGCCCATGGTCCCCAAGGTGTTGTAAGGCACACACGTGTAAGTGCCAAGAGCCTCCTCTGTGGCCTCCTCAATTCGAATGGAGCCATCTTCCATCAAGGTCCAACCTAGGTTCTGCCGGACAACGACACAGCAGGGGATCGGTCAGGCGCGGGCATTCCGTCCCAGCTCCCCTCCAGGTGGGTCTGAGCTACGCAGACAACACCAGACGGAGCCCGCCACAGCCGTGCGGGCATCCGGGCGAACGGCAAAGATACTGCCAGCCACAGACCCCTACAGAAGCAGCTCTCTGTCTTCCCAGAGACTCTGAAGGGGCAGGAAAGCCCTGGCAGAAAGCCAGGCCCCCGAGGCAGCACCTCGGTGTCAGGAGGGCCTCCCATCCTGAACCCAGCATGCGTCCCTCTAGCACCTTCTCGACCTGCAGGGGACGGCCATCCTTGTTCCACTTGACCACGGTGGCCGGCGGCTCTGCGTCCACAGGGCAGCGGATGTAGCCGTGGATCCCCACGGGCACATAGATGACAGGGGGCATGTTGAGGACGCGGGCAGGGTCTGCAGAGAGCCAGCGTGGGCGGGGACGAGACAGACACAGGGACACCAAGTGAGAAGTCCAGGCGGGGCGAGCCCGCACACACGCCCAGCCAGAGCTGCTGCCCTGGCACTGGAGGCACCCGAAGGCCGCTCCAGCCTGCCCGTCCGCAGCGCTCCTGAAACGCCTCGCCCGTCGGGCAAGGGCTCTCCACGACCCTCGCCCTCAGCCCTAGGCCCTGGGCCCCAAAGCCAACAGGTGCCACACCCTGTCCCGGCCGCTCCTTATCCCAAAGCCTCCTTGGGCAGCCGCTGGTTCTACACATAAGGCCATCGCGGGTGCAACCACAAGAGGGTGTTCCTCCTCCTTCCATTCTGCTGCTTGTCCAGTCTCCCCAGGCCTTGGTTTCCCCACCTGACTCTGCGGCTGAAATGCAGAGTCAACCCTGCCCACAGAGCAGACAAAAGGCCTCGGGGGAGCGGCGAGGGCGCCCGCACCTCCTGCCCCGCAGCCTGAGTCACCTCCTCTCGAGTCTCCCCAACTTCCCCTGAGGGCCACGGGGGAGAAGGACACAGAACTTAGGCGGCAGCGAGGATGAATGAGCTGGATCTGCTAAGCGTTCCAGCTCTTCAGAGAGCACCATTACATAAATACCAGCCCGGTTATATATTTAGACATAGCTTCCTACTTTTGTATGGTAGTTTTTTTTTCTCCTCCAAGGTTTTCAAAGGGTTTATGAATGGGAAATACTCTGAACACTGCTTTTTAGCAGGAATAAAGATCCTCGTCTCACCCACCTGTAAATCTCAACCCCCTGGCTTTTTTCTTTGAAGGCAGGAAGGAGGTAAAACAGGACGAGGAGGGTGGGCGGTGCTGGCGCCGGGAGAGATGGGGAGACCAACACTCGCCTCCGACAGACGGACGGCCCGCGGCTCCCAGGCCAGGGCCTCATCCCAGCCAGGCATCCCAACGACCGCCTCCCATCGGCTCCTGGCCCAGCACGGCCACCTTCCTGCCCGGTGGCACGGCGGCAGCCCGCACCGAGGGGTGGGACGCTCCGAGGGGCAGGGCTCCCCTCCCTTCCGTTCTCGGCTCCAGCCCGCCTCGGGGCGCACCCTAATTCACTCACGAGCAAGTCCTCGACTCCTGGTGGCTAGACCTGTGGCCCTGGGCCTCACGGCTCTGTGAGCCTGGCGCTAACAACACTGCACGCTACACGTCCTTTCACGTTGACAGTGAAGTAGAGAAGCGATGTGCTCCATCGCGATGAGAAAACGGCAAGAACGCGAGGTTGGGGGTCCGCGGGGTTCAGGAGGTCCCTCTCAGCCCCACCACGGCCGCGCCGTGGCCAACAGCCAGCTCCAGGCAGCCGTCAGATGAGCTCCTCCCCTGGGGCCACCAGCTGTTTCTCTGCTTGTCCTCAGCTCCTGTGCTGACCCCGGGCCACGTCTCAGACGCGGCCACTTCTCACCCCTGCCCCTCTGGTGTGAGCAATCCTCCCACACCAGCCCTGACGATGGAGAGTGTCACCTACAGCAGCAGCGTGGGGCCTTTGTTGCCTGAGTGACAGGGCCATCCGAAAATCAAAAGGAAGACATTAATCTTCATTACTCATCCTTCTCTCTCACACACATGCTCAGCCTGCCAGGGGGTGGGAGAGCGACTGGCCTTCCCAGCACTGAAGATTAGCAAACAGAATTATTGTGCTCAACAAAAGCCCACGGCTGCTCTGGGTGAGGAGCAGCTCATCCATCTGCATCGCTGGCAGCCCCAGCGAGGGGTGCCCGGGAAGCAGGCGTGGCAGCTTGATGAGACACCCCCAAAGAGGGCCCTCTTGCCCTTGCTGGCCACGGCCATGGCCGTGGTACGGAACGGCAGGGATGTGGCTGGCGGGAAACCTAGCCCTGCCCTGGCTCCAGGCTGCGCTCCCTCAGTCACCCGAGAAAGGAGCAACCGCTTGCGGTACAGAGGTGCTGGCCAGCGTCCAGCCAAGGACAACATGCAAAGCAACTGCCCAGAGGGCCTGCTTCTCCTCGAGCCCAACCTAAGCGCAGCTTCTCAGGTAACCGCTGGCACACACAGCAATGCCCAGCCACGGAACACACCAGCAGGTGCCAGCCACCCTCCTGCCCCGCAGGGCCTCGGCCTCCTCTTGAGCTGGCCCTTTCCTCCTCCCTCATTCTTTCCTGCTCCCTCATCCTTCCTCCACCCACGTCCCCCTGAGTGGTGCTCGGTGTCCGCTGCCCTCCAGCCTGCAGTCTGGCCAATGGACCTGAACCTTCTGGAGCCCCCGCCACCTGGCCTCTCCCGCACCCCTACTCACACTGCACCGTCAGGTAGGCTGAGGCAGAGGGGGAGCGCCCCAGACTGTTGCTCGGGACGCAGGTGTACTTCCCTGCGTCCTCTGGCTTCACCCGGAAGATGATCAGGGTTCCATCGATCAGGATCCGCACCCGCAGCTTCAGGTCGCTGCAAAGCCAGCAAGGAGACGTGGGGAGAGATGTTGGCAGGTGGGAGAAGGGGGTCCTGCCGCAGACACCAGAGCAAGGTGGCAATGGGTCACCTCCACCTCCCCTAGACCTCGGGCCCCCCGGCATTCCCAGGACCCCTGTCTCAAAGCCCCTCTGTGAAGACTCTGGCCTTGGCATGTGGGACACAGACTGGACCACCCGCCTCTCCAAGCTTCCAGAGCCCAGGGGCACCTGTACAGGCACAGTTTCTCCTCGGACGCCTTGCCCCCAGGGACGGGGAGGGACCTCAGTGAGAGGGTCCCAGCCAGGTGCTCACTTCTGGAAGTAGACGTTCTCATCCTGCCAGTACCAGGTGTAGGTGAGGTTGCCGGGATACGCCTCCGCCCGGCAGGTGAGCAGGGCGTCCTGGGAGATGTTGACGGTGATGTTCTCAGGAGGGGACACAATGAAAGGCGGCCCTGGGAGAACAAGAACAGACGCCACCTCACCTGACGGGCAGGCAACAGCACCAGCCTCCCAGGAAGCTCCGAGCACCCCAGGAAGGGGCGCTGGGGATGGCACAGCCCAGGCAGTTGGCATGGAGACGCTCCCACATGCTGCCTCACGCCACTGTCTCCACCACACCTGCCACCTGCACCCACGGCCGCCCAGACCAGCCGTCTCTCTCACATACGCACACAAAACCCTTCCTGCCCTTGCTTCTCCCAGCAGAGCCTGAGCCAGAGACACAGGAGGGACAAAAGCCACTCTTTTTAAACCCGAAGCAAGGAATGATCTTGCCTTCGGAGGAGTCAGAGCCTGTGCCGCTCACTAGCCGGAAGTCAGGAGGGCAGCTGGGGGTGGAGGCGGGGCAGTGGGCAGAGGGAGCAATCCTCACAGTCCGTGGCGCCGGCTGCCCACACAGAGGCACCAGCTGCAGCCTCCTGATGAGGGGCAGCTTCCATGTTGGCTGCAGGGACCTCGGACCTGGCTATGGCTCTGCACTCAGAGCAGGAGGCAGGTGGCGGCGCATGCGCCACTGCCAACCCTCCCCTGCGTGCCTCCTGCAGGCAGGGGTGAGACGACAGAGCGGGGCATGGGCTCTGCAGACCCCTCAACTCAGATGCTGCCCATCCAGGGCAGTGCCCGGCCCCTCCTTAGGGACTCTGGGGCTCCAGCCAGGGCAGACTGGCATCTCCTGGTGCTGACTGCACAGACCTCAGCTGTGCCAAATGCCCTTGGTGTTATTTAACCGTCTGGGCTTGGATGGAATTCCTGTATTTATTGATGCCGTCACTAATGGATAGATGGCCTGAGAGAGGTATCCCCTCCTGGGGAGATGGAGGCATGGCAGGGATGCTATCTGGACAGAGAGAGAAACCAGAACCCAGGCAGCACAGTGCCTCCCTGCCACACTGTGGCGCCTGGCCGCAGCCTCTGGGCCCAGCCCTTCTGCAGGCAGGCCTGTGCAGGAGCTGAGGGTAGGCACGCAGCACACGCAAGCCCCGCACAGCTCCCTGCCGGCTACACCTCCACCCCACCCCCCACCGTGCCAAGTGTGCCCGGGGGAAATGTCCCCCATAGTTCACCTGGGCTGATGTCCCATGAAAGAGCCCAAGGAGCTATCCCTACCTTGGACAAGCAGGTGAGTCGTGTGGACAGCCTCCCCCTGGATGCTGTATGCTCGACAGGTGTAGGCGCCTCTGTCCTCCCGACTGACTGATGTCACCGTCAGGCTGCCGTCACTCACCTGGGGGCCAAGGATGGATGGAGCTCAGCACCCACCCTTGGGCCCCACCGACGCTACCCTCAGGCAGAGGGATGCAATCGGAGATGCTGAAGTGGAGATGGCCCCAGGGACACATGCACATGGGGATACAGGGCAGGTGCCTCCTTGCTGATCACCCTCTAACGACAGACAGGACTCCTGCGCCCATGCTGAGCTGTTGGCTTCCCACCTCCGCTGTGCCTGCACACACAGTGTCGGTAGCTGGCCCCAGGGGGAGATCGCCTTGGAGGGGAGGGAGGTGGGGAAGAGCAACTGCCACGGCCCCAGCCCAGACCCACACTCACCTGGTACTTCCCACTAGCACCGAGGAGTGTCCCCTCCTTGAGCCAGGTGACGATGGGCTTGGGGTTCCCAAAAGCTGTGCAGGTCATGGTAATACTGCCACCCTCCTTGGCCTCGATGTACTGGGGGGGTGTTTCTGTAAAGGTGGGAGGGGCTGCAAAGGACACCACGACAGTGAAGGATGGAATCAGCCAAGGGGCTGCCCCGCAGGCAGTGCCCGCCCTGCGTGCGATCCTCAGTGTGGCTCCACGGGGCGCAAGGAGGAGTCAGCGACGGCAAGGGGGAAAATCTGGCCTGATATTATGGGGCAGGGAGACCTGCAACCAGGTCAGCCTGGCTGGATCTAAACTTTACACCGTCTCCACCATACTTAGTGCGCCCCGATGAACTAATGTCATCAAGCATCCACTGCAGGAAAGCCGCAGTGCTCGGCACGGAGACACGACATCAACGAGACGGCCCTCTGGTGGCCCTTCCAGAACACTTGTTTGCCATCAGCGCCCCAGACTACCCGATCACCCTTCAGCCCTTCTCCTCAGGGTTATTCCTCGCGCACAGGAGCCCCTACTTCCTGGACCCCAGCTCCGCAAGGTCCCCGCATTTCCCGGACGTTGGCCATCCAAGCCCTGTCTGGGCCTAACACAGATCACAGGCCAAGGCTACAAGGAGTCTTACTTTTCCCAGATTCTGCCAAGAAAATCATCCATCTTCCTCCCTCTCTGGCTCCCGTGGGTAAAAGTGGACAGCCCACTCTGCAGGCTCCTCCCTTCTCAACTCTCCTCTGCCTGTGCCCAGTTATCTTCCCCGCTGCATTGGAGATTTGATTAAAACTCCATCCTGTTTGGATAATCGGCTTTTAAGAGACTCATTTGCCTGAGCTGCTTGTAGAAGCAATCCGGTCAACCTTAACCCCTTGGACCATCAGTCCCACCGTCTTCTGGGTCTTCCGAAATGGCGAGGAGGCCCCCATTCCTGAATGCCAGCCCAGACGCCCAGGGCAAAGCTCAGTTCAAGCACCACCTGCCACTTGTCGTAATCTTGGGGAGCTCACTCAGCCTCTCCGAGCTTCATCTAAATCATCTCCCCTCCAGAATTGATGTAAAGAATAAATATTTGTGAGGAGTATCTTGTAAAATGTTGGTTGTCCTGGCCATTACTGCCTCCATCACGATCATCTCCCTACCAATCACACTGATGAGGAGCTCTGGGAGGCGTCTCCCCTCCCCCACAGCCCTGCCCTGAGAACCAGGTGGAGTGCTGTAGGCCCACATTCTCCTTCCTCCCACTGTGCTCTAGCCACGCTGGCCTTCCTCATCTTCCTCCCGTGTGCCAAGATCTTCTGCCCTCGGGGCCTTTGCATTTGCTGTTCTTCCTGCCGGGAACTCTGTCCCCCCATCTCCTTTGCTTCGTGCAAGTCTTTGCGACAACACTGCTTGGTCAGCCCATCCATATAAGACAGTATTCCAGCATTCTCTACTCACTCACATTGTTCTTTTCTTCCCTCTGTGTCTCTCACTCACTCATACACGCTTCCTACCCACCCTTCTCCCAGCAAAGCCCAAGCCAGAGACCCACGGGAGGCACAAAGGACACTCTTTTTAAATCCAGAGCAAGGAATGACATTGTCTCTGGAGCGTCAGAGCCGTGTGCCCTCCCCAGCCAGAAGCCAGGAGGGCAGCTGGGGGCACGGAGGCAGGGCAGTGGGCAGAGGGTGCAGTCCCCGCAGTCCTGGTGCTGGACAATATGTATGTGTTTGCCTGCTTCTCATCCGTCCCCTTTATTACAATGGTGGCTCCTTGAGAGACACACTTCTGTGTGGCGCCGTGGCGTGCCCAGCCGTCAGCACAGTCCCTAGATGCAGCAGTGTGCTCTGCTAACGTTTGTCCAGTGAACAAACGAATGACACAGATAGATGAATGAAGGGCACACACATATGCACACCCACAGGCCAACACAAATGCAAACACATACAACTTCTGAAGAGCATGACCACTTTCGTCCACAACCTTCAAACCCACAGCTCAGTGTGGGCACATGGGGCACAGGCAGAGTGGCTGCTGAAGGAATTAAGCAGCACACTTCATCACACGCCAAAACACAGACCACACACATCCTCAAGAAACCCAATTCTCATCCAATATCCAAGAACATACTAAAAACAATGATAAGTCCTTCCACGTGCTTGTACCGGGATCCTGGAGTCCCAGCCTGCGGCCTGCCGTCCCACTGGCAGTGCGTGCGCATCTGCAAGAAAGCCCTCCTCGCCCGGCCTGGCCCTGAAACACGCCAGCAGCCACGGCCGATTACCTCTGGTGTCAAGCTTAAAAGAAAAGATAATAAATTAAATTTACATCCTGAAGTGACAAATTACTTACTAATTACATAATTACTTTATTATTTAGGTGCTAATCAGGAAAGTACTTTGAACAATTTCGAGTTTTCAGGAAAATAATGGTTTGACTCTCAATTATTTACTGAATTAGATGTTAGCTTGCCAGCTGCACTTCCAGGCTTAATTCTTTTTCACGAGTGCCCTATAATTAATAGTGCAGGTTAGAAGCAGGCTGGCCTCTCCTCCACGCAATTCACAAACCTAAAGCAAGCCCTGGCTCGGGCTTTTCGGGTATTTTATATGTGATAAAGAAATAATTGGGTTTGTTTCCACCCAACTGGTCTTCAAAGAAAACACAGAAGGAGAATAAGTCAATTTGTAATTCTAATTTTTCACTGGCCTTTCACTTTCCAAAGGTGATCCGTGTCAGAAAATGCCGACATTAAACATTCCAGTTTGGAAGCGATGGAATGATGGAATGCCGGTGCTTGGATTCTCTCCTTCAACGATGGAAATGTTTATGCTGAAAGGAAACTCAGGACTTGGGCCGGAGGGAAAGCAGCAGAGAGGCCTGTCTTTTACCGTAGGAGGGTCTGCTCTACCTGTTCGCAGGTAGGCTCCTTGATTAGGCAAACCAGCCCTATCGCCAGTCCTGGGTCCCAGCCTGCAGCAGCGTGCCGTGCCATGCCCAGCTCTTCCGCCCAGCACTGCCGCGTGAGCAACCTGTCCAGGCTCGCGACTCTGCCGCCCCCTCCCTCTGCCAGGCGTCCCCTTCCCACCTCTACCTGCGCCTGGCTGACTCGGGCCCTGGCCTGGTGTCTCGGCAGAGGGCATTTCTCCAGAGCAGCTCGCTCTCCTCTGCGCGCTCAAAGCCACGTTGCGGTCGTCTCTGGACTTGACGTCTCCTTAAGAGCCAGGACTGGGTCGTGCCTCCTGCGGTGCCCTCGCAGCCTGCCGCAGGGTGCACATCCAAACGTGCGCTTTGAATGGACAGTTAGTGATGGATCCACAGGGACTTTTACACTATCAGAACCCTCTACCTCTTCCAGGCCTGCCGTCCTGCTATTCAGTTTTCATCGGATTTTATGTTTTTCTCTCTTGAGAAGGAGGATGGCCAGCATCTCACACATAATTGCCCACATGTAATTAATGTTCCAGACACTGCAAGATGTTTCCTCACACAGCATTTCATTTAATTTTCACAACAGCCCTGTAAATAGGCATTGGTTCTTGTAAGGGACGAAGCTGAAGCTCAAAGAGGTAACTTGCTTTGCCCGGATCAAACAGCTAACATGCCGTGAGTTCATGGCACAAACCAGATCCCTTAAGGGTCTTGCTCCACGCTCACTGCACTCCACGCAATCAGGAATCCCAAAGAATCCATCCCCACTCGCACAAGCTGAGACAGAGATGCCACGGAGCATACAATTCCAAACTAAGTTCTACTTTCCTGTCATGTGCGTGTCCACTGAACGCTTGGTGTCTTGGGTTCCTGAAACGGACACTACCCACCAGGATGAAGTGACAGGAAAGCAGGCAGCACGGCAAGATGATTTCCACCCCGTTTAGGAAAGGGCACAGGAAGCAAAGGAAGCAGCACGGGGACTCCTGGCCTGGTGTTCATCCAGGCAAGCTTGTAGTAGCACATTTACCTTCCTAATTATGTTTTGCTTGGGTTACTGTTCAGATGAGTTTTCATTCCTTGCTCACACAACAGCTGGCATCAAAAGGGGTTGACTCAAAAGCTTGCTGGGTGGTAGGGACAACCCACCCAAGATTTAAAATATGCCTCCGATCAGTCTGTCAGGACTGATGGACAGGAGCCAACCGCATCCCACGTGGAGGGCGGGCCGGGCAGCCTAGACCAACATGGATGTGGGGCCACCATCGTGGAGGTTTCTCTTCCCACAGGCCAGTCGTCTTGCTAACACATGAAACACTCTGTTCCTCCAGGACCCTGGACAGGTTCCCAGACCAGAAGGAGCCCCACTAGGCAGGGAGGGCAGAGCCGCCCTTCGCGGCAAACCAATGCTGAGAGCAGCCCCCAAGCCAGCAGCAGCACCAGCTTCTGTCTCCCAAGCCCAGCATCCACAGTCTCCGGCCCAAAACCACAAGGGCCTGAGCGGCAAGTGGCACATGCCAGCACTGACACTGTCACAGCCTCAATAACTACCCGCGTCTCAACATAGTGGTGGCTGAATACATTCTTGTCATCAACTGAATAAAGAATAAGGGTCTGGCAAAAAAAAAAACAAAAAAAACAAGCAAAACAATGGAAAACCCCACCCCCTTCCCACTGCGGAGACCACTTCTCCTTCATGTTTTCTCCTCGGTTCCAGCTTCTGGCTCCTCCAGAGTACTGCTTCCCAGGTAAGGACTCCCCAGGTGACACAGGGGGGCCTACCCTCCGAGCAGACCCCAAGGCCCCAGCCCCTGGTGCCGTCACAGCCGCCCAAGGTTCAGCAAGCTCACCCGACGCTGGCAACGCAAGCGTCCACACACGGCACAGTTCATCTAGCCTGAGCTATAAATAGCTGACGGCCATTAAAACTGTTACTCTTCCCAGGATGCTCACGCTCTGTTAGCCGGGAAAGCCCACTACAGCTGGGACCGTGTGCAGGCTGCTCACCGTGGTCTAGCTGCCCCCTGGGGCGGGGCTGGCCCACGACAGACCCTGGGCACATACTCCTCGAAGGAACACACTTAACGAGGAGCCACAATATCAATCCAAGCAGACAGACCAGCAGCGGGACTGCAGGGATTCCACAGGGGAGTGGGCTGTCAGGACCATCCCAAGGCTGGGAAATGATCCCAGCAGGGACCGGTTTTGCCTCCACAAAGCCTTAACCTTCCTGGCTTCCAGAAACAGCTTCCCTCCCCCCTCTATGGGGCTCTGGCAGCGCATGCGCTCAGGGAGCTGCCCTCCTATGCACCCCTGCCGAGCCCAAGGCCAGGACAGCCAAGGGGGCACTGGAGGAGGCAGCTGATAGCTCACAGGGCCAAGGCACCCCCCACCCCCCACAGCAAGGGGAGGGCACAGCGCAGTCAGGAGAGGGCTGCCCTGGGGAAGCAGTGTTCCCAGGCCACCCCAGAGGCAGCCCATACGCACCGTTGATGGTGAGGTGGACCCAGCTGCCGTTGTGGAAGGTGTCATACTGCTGGTCCAGCATGAGCACTTTGCACTCGTACCAGCCCTGGTCCTCGGAGCGAACCTGCTCCAGCCGCAAGGATGCCTTATCGTGGAGACTGGCCCGGCCTGAGGGAACAGTGGACAAAAGCCCCAGAGGCCATCAGGGCAAGGCCAGCAGCTCCCACCTCCACCCCAGCCAAAGGCAGGGGACCCGTCATAACCTTCATGCCATTTCCCATGGCAGGTCCCCAAAATAACAGCTGGCACCCACCTCTGGCAGCAGGTGGCAAAGGAAAAGGCACTATGCCTTGGCCACAGAGCCACTCTCCCTCCCCAGCTGGCCCTGTCCCAGCCGGCAATGGCAACTCAACGTGTTTGGCACTGAAAGAAGCCTCAGTTCCTTAGAATACTCCCATTCTTTTGGAGATCTCCCGGGACCAAGGTAAGGCATGATGGATACAGAGCTGAGAAGGGATGACACCGGGGAGAGGGGACAGAGCGTGCCAACATAAGAGGATGGGGGCTCTGGTGGGCCCTGGAGCACCTCTGGTCAGGTTGAGTGGTATCCCTGTCCCAGCTGGGTGCCCAGGACCACCTCACCTGGCCGCCCCTCACCTGCCCCTCACCTGGGCAGAGGGAAGGCAGGCTGGGCACCAGATGCTAGGGTCCCCTCCCCATCCTCCTGCCAGTGCCAGAGAGACAACACATCCTACCGACGCCCAGCGACCCTAGGAACTGAGGGCAGTGGGGCCCATAGTATTGGCAGGCAGAGCAGAGAGCCCTGAGCCAGCCCTCCTTAACCCCAGCCTGGCCCCCATCAGCACGCCAGCTTTCTCTCACTCTGGAGGCAAGGGGAAGGTCAGAGGTGCGGCTGGAGCCTCCTCCAGGGCATCAGGGCGGAGCTGCCCTCGGGGTGGGCCCCCACCTCACCTACCCCTCAGCCCGAGCCAATTACCTCACCCGCCTCTGCCTTCCTCCTAGCCTTGACACCAGCAATCTGCCCAGAAACCAGACCATCAAATCCAACCCTAGCCAAAAAAGAGCGCGAGACACACTCACAGGACAGGAGGAGAGGCAGAAATGGAAGCACTCGGACAGGCCACGTCCTGCCTGTCTCCTCCCTCCCCGTCAACCCCAACACACTCCCTCTCTCACACACACACCCCCCATGCCCTGCTCCCCGCAGGCTGGTGGCAGGCAGCAGCAGTGGGTCACAGCGAGGCCACCACTGGTGGGGTAACCGCCAAGTAAGACACAAGCGGGGCCAGGAGAAGGGGAGCGCGGCGCGGCAGAGGCAGCAGAGACCGGCGCCCGCCAGCCCCTCAGACAGCAGGGCCCAGAGATGCATCCATAGGCTCAGGGATGGGAGGGCGCCCCCACTTCAGAGCCAAGCCAGGCAGCGCAGATCTGGCCCCGCTACCGCGGCCACGCCCGGCACAGGGCGGCAGCGCTGACTCAGCTTCTGCCGGCAGGAGCTGCTCCCCACCTCCTGCTCCTGCCCTCTGCAGCCCCCGGCAGTGCTCTGTGGAAGGGCTTTATATCTGCATCACCTCCTATTCCCTCTCCTCCCACCACTTAATTAAAACCTACCAGCGTAGAAAAGATCAGAGGAAAAAGACAGAGACTGTGAAGAGGAGAGATAACAGCTGTCAGGAAAGATAAGGAGCAATAGAGAGAGAGAAGGGCAGGAGCCTGTGACCTCCTGGTGACCACTGGGAATCAGAGAGAAAGCACAGAAAGACCACGACCAGGAAGGGAAGCCCGGCGCCCAAGCCTTACCTGCATACTCGGGGTCCACGTGGGGCGGGTAGTAGCCAAACTTGATGAAGATAGGAATAGGCACCCCGAACTTGAACCACTCTACGACATAGGGCGGGGGTTGTCCCGTCACCGGGTGGATCACGTCGCATCGCAGGACCACAGCCTCACCGGCTCTCGCAGTCACAAACTCGGGTTCCTCTCGAAGGCCGTGGGCGCCTGATGGGACAGCCAGTGGGACATAGAAAGGAGGTGACAAGAGACCCTGCCCTGGCAGCTCCATGCCGTGTCACGGGGCTGCGCCCCACTCCTCTCGGCTGCCTTCTACTGGCCCCTGTGCCCCCACCCACCCTGCCCTCCCCGGAGGGCCCCGAGTACACCCCTCCCCTTCTCCACCCCTCTGCTCACACCTGCCCTTCCCTGGGGCCCAAGCATCCCCAGACCTGGGGGAAGGGAAGAGGAAGGAAGAAGAGGGGAGCCATTTCCTTCAGTCCTGCAAGCCAGACCTTCCCTACCCAGCCCCAAAGAGCAGCAGGTATAATCATGCCCTGCCCCCCTCTGACAACCCCCCTAGAATCATAAGAACTCATAGACATGGAGGCAGAGGGTCCTCAGCCTCTCTGTGGAGGCCCATGGCCCTGCCGAGCTGCAGCCGCCTATGAACATGGAATGTTCTTCCTGAACCAGGATGCTTCCCACCAGAGCCTGGTAGGAGACGGCAGAGCCAGCCTCCTCCTATGCCCGCCCCCAGCCCGGCCGGATGTGCGCTGCACAACACAAGGGTACTCCATGCAGGAGCAGGGATTCCCTAACAAGCTAAGCCGAGGCTGCCCATGGCAACACCAGAGGAAAACCCCACAGGCCCAGCTGGCCTCCAGCCCCTCCTCCCCAACAGTGCTGCGCCAGCCCTACTGCAGAGGGGGAGTGGGAGGGGCCTGCCGCCCCCCAGTTCCCAGCCCCAAATCCACCAGCCTCTCTAAGAAGCCCCCGACATGATCACCTACAGGAGAACAGGATGCTAGCAACTGAGGAGGGAAGCCCTGGGAAGTCCCTACCTTTGGCAAAGGACAACGAAACCAGATAGCTGGACAGGGCGTCCCCATCCTGGCTGGCAGGAGAGGAAGGAGGCAGGCAGGAGGCCCACTCCCACCCCTCCTACAAACTGGAGCACGCCATCCCACGCACCGCAGCACTGGCTCCTGGGCCCCAAACAGGGCGAGCAGCCCCACCCCAGCAGACACTCCGCCCACACCAGGCCTCTGCGGCCAGGCAGGCCACAAGGTCACCTTGTCTAGCTATGCCCCACAGAAAGGGACAGCAAAGGAGACGCCTTGCCCTGCACTCCTGGTACTACCCACCACTCCCGCATGGACCCAGGCTTTCCCCATGCCCACCCCTCCCAGGCCCAGGCTGGGCGTCCTGACTCTGCAGGCAGCACCTAGGACAGCAGCTGCGGCACGGAAGCCAGAGGCTCAGAGCCAAGCAGCCTGCTGGGTCCTCCCACACAGAGGATGCCCGGAGAGCAGCACCAGACTCTGTCCTTCCCAGGGCTCGGTCTGACTTTCTGCATCTCTGACCCATGTGCTTCTGCTTGTCTCGTCTTTCCTTCCTGTCTCTGTCTGGTACCTCTCTGTGTCCGTGTGCGTGTGCGTGTGCATGTGCGTGTGCATGTGCGTGTGTGTGCGTGTGTGAGTGCACACCTGCCCTGGCTCCTCTGTGTGTCCCCCCACCCCTGCTCTTTCTGTCTGCCTCTGCTCCTCTGTGTCTCTCTGTCTCTGTCTCTCTCTGAGTTTCCCTCTCCTGCTCCTTTGTCTCCCTGTCTCCATCTGTTTGTCTCTGTCTCCCTCTAGCTCCTTCTGTGTCTATGAATGTGTGTCCCTCTGTCTTTCTCTCTTTCTGGCTCCTTCTCTGTGTCTCTCTGTCTCTGTCTCTCTCTGGCTTCTTCTGTGTGTGTACGTGTCTCTGTCTCCTGCTCCTTCTCTATGTCTCTGCCAGTGTCTCTCTTTCTCTCTAGTTCCCACTCTATGTGGGTGATCCTGTCTACCTGCCTGTTTCTGTCCTATGAGCGCGTGCGCGCGCGCGCGCACGTGTGTGTGTGTGTGTGTGTGTGTGTGTGTGTGTTGGGGGATGGGGGCCTGTGGATTTCTGTTGGCTTGTGCAAGGGGAAGGGGTCTGCCTGCTACTCTTTGTGCAGGGGCTCTGTCATTGCATGCGTGTGCTTCTGTGTCTGTCTCTCCGTGTCTGTCTGTATGTCATCTCTGTGTGTCTTGCTCTCCCCTCCCCCTCCCCTGCAAGTTGCAAAGGGAGGAGGAGGAAGAGGAGGAGGCAAGCCCATCCAGAAGCTGATTGGCTCCCAGTGACATCACTGTTTTCTAGAGAAAGAGCTAAGATCACAGAGTATTTTTGGAGCAGAGCAGAGTGTTACACTCACCTGCCTGAGGCCCCAGCAGGTTTCCCGATTCTCCCCACCCCCAACCTTGCTTTGGGCTAGGTTTGCATCCCAGCCTTCAAGAAAGGCATGGAGGTGCCCAGCTGCAGCAGCACCCCCCTCCCACCCCAAGGGGCACCTCACAGGCCGAGCCTGCCTCCCAGCACCCAGGAGCACAAAGGCCAATGCTGGACCACAAGGAACGGGTGGACGGAGGGTACCATGAGCAAGCAGAGCAGCAGCATGTGTGTGCACGGGTGCACATTCTGGTGTCTGCAGCACAGCCCTGTGGGGACATGAGAAAGAAACTACAGGAGCCTGGGGAAGAGGACAGAGTTTTTCCCAGGGGCCAGGTTACCTGGGAGAGGGCAGGGTGGGCCACAGAGGGTGGCTCCTTTCCAGGGCTTCCAGCCCTAGGGCCCAGGTATGAGGAAGAGGCCTGAGGGGAGTGGTAGGCACCTCTAACAGTTTTTGCTCAGCAGTCTCCAGGGGGCAATGCCAGAAGTCTGCATTGACACGGGTCCCCACAGCCTGGCTGCTCTGGCTGCTCACTCACACCTCACCGCCTCATTCCCACTGCATGGCAATGAGCAGCCTCCTCACACCTTCAGGCCCTGCAAATGCTCCAGGCCCCACCCCAGCCCCAGCCCACCGGGACCCACCCCCAGCAGGCAGCCCCACCAGGAAGAGGCAGCTGCAGAGAGGACACATCCCAAAGATGATAAAAAGACAAAACAGGAGACAGTCTCCCCAAAAGAAAGCAGAGGGCTGATAGCCCAGGCCCAGCCCCCACCCTCAGTGGGAGCCCTCTTGGTTTTCTGCATCCTAAAATATTTACCAGTTTTCCCTCATCTCCTTCACACACACACACACACACACACACACACACACACACACAGCAAGTTCTCACCCCATCCACACAAGCACTTCCCCCAAGCCTGATCCTTTCTGAGCCAAAGTATGTCTAATAAAACACTCTCTCCAGAAAAGCTCAATGTGAAAAAAAAAAAAAAAGTAATCAGGTAGGGAGTAGAGAGGGAAGAGGGGCTTGGTAGAGGAGAGACCAACAAATCCAAACAGGAGGAACCAAACTCAAATCCAGGAGCGCAGGGACACAGGCAGCAAGGCAGGAGGGAGCCGAGGGCCGGCCGGGTGCAAGCCGGCACAGGCCAGCCTGGCCCTGGCAGACAGACATGCGTGAACACAGAGACACAGCCGCCAGAGCACCCGGAACCAGGACAGGGACAGAGCTGTCTCCAGCAGGGCTGTGGAGCAGCTGCCCACTGCTTGTGAAGGGAGTGGGCAGGGCGGACTGGGAGGCGCAGGGTAGGGTGGAGCGCCCCGTCACAGCAGCCCCCGGGGGGCTGGCCCCCTCCTCCAACAGGGGAAAACTGGCATTAGCGGGGGTGGCACAATGGGAAGGTGGGTCTCACACACCCTGTTAGAGAAGGAACGGGGTGCCCTTAGCCTAGCAAATCTGCAGCTTAGGGACCTGCCCAGCCTCCTTCTGCGCTGTTCTGGCAGGAAAGAGAGAGCAGGAGGGCAAGGGAGGATGGGGCGGTCCCTGCAGTCTGGCTGACCTTTGGCAAGCCCATAGGGTACCAATCTCCCGCTCTCTGGGCCAGGTGGTACCCAGTGGGCAGCTGAGTCTAGGGCTGCCATCAGACCCCCTGTGAGCACAGAACCACGAGGCCTCCACAGCCTGGCACTGGCCCCACTCCCAACACTCACAGCCCAGAGCTCATCTGCAGGGAAGCCCTGGGGGAGGAAGGGACCCCAGAGAACAGGACACACTCTAACCACCAAAGGAAGGTATGAGGAGCCAGGGCTGCTGTAAATACCTACTGCATACCAGGCTGTTCGAGAAATGCAACCTGAATCTCATTTACCACCCACAGCGGCCCCGGACAGTACTGTTGTCTCCAATTTGCCAAGGAGCAAACTGGAGGCTGAGTGGCTCACCCGGCCACTCATTCTAGCTCCATCACACAACTCTGGCCCACCCTAGGCCCAGGGGACCAAGGCCTCTCCTCGACTGTCCCTCCCCTTTCTTACCGAGTCAGAGATCAGCCCTCCCCAACCCACACTCCGGACAGGTTTCCAGAGTCCAAACCCTGCCGCCCAGGATGGCTGGGCCGGCCTGTTTCAAAGGCAGCTGAGCTGGCTCTGGGGAGAAGGCCTGCCTGAGACGCTGGAACCCCTGCCTGGGGCTGGCTGGCGGCCATGGGAAGGGGGGACACAGAGTGAGCCCCAGCCGCCGACGCTCATTAGTACAAGTCCTTATTGGAGCCTCCTCTTCTTCCTCCTCCTCTGGGCACCAGACTTCCAAACCACAGGCCTGTTGTCTAATAATACCAGCGACAGCCACCGCCACCTCCATCTGCCAGCCTAAAAATAATCCCTGCTGAGTCCAAAAAAGGCACAGCCCCCAATAGTCCCCCAATCCCTCCTCCCCGACAAGCCAGGAGGCTCCAGGAGATTCCAGGAAGCCGGGAGACTCGGTCGCTCACCAAGTGGGAGGCACACACCCAGAGGGGTGGCAGGAAGAAGGCCGAGGACAGACTCCCCGTGGCCCAAACCAAAGCGACGAACACCAGGAAAGTATGAGATGCAGAACAGACCTGTGCCCAAACACCGATGGTGTCCTTGTTCTCCTTCTCAGAAGGCAGGTGGGGCAGAGGGCATCCGGACACCCTTTGGGGATCTCCCCCTCAGTGTCCCCATGGTCATGCCAGCCCCCATTCCACATCAAATCTCTCAGGGTCAGGGCAAGAGGTCAGAGAAGTCCAGACCGGGCTCCTTACGAAGAGCAGGGCATTGTGGAGGGAGGGGTGGGCGCACAGGCTCCTTCCCTCTGCGGGTGCCTCTCCTCCCTGACCCCTCTCAGCTGGGCTCCCCCCAGCAGCCAGGGAGGCAGCCATGCTATTAGCAACCGTAATTTGCTCTGGCTAGATTACGTTTCCAAGAGCCCTTTCCCCATGAGCCACTGGCAGGAAGGAAGTCAGTAATTCAATCTCCGCTCTGCTCCTTTAATGGCTCCTCAGCAGAAAAGCAAAGCCACACCTCCCCCTCCAGCCCTCTGCCCCCACCTGGAGTGCCAGCCCTGCCCAGCATACTCTGCCCAGCATACTCGGTGCCCAGGAGCCTGCCCTGAAGTGGAGGCAGGCCGGCAGGCCCCACCAGGAGAGGGCACCCGGGCTGGCCTGCCACGAGGTCGGGCTCCCTGGGTAAGTCAGTGCGAAAGCTAAGTCCCATATTTACTCCTGAGGAAATGTCAACATTGCCCACTCTGAAGCCAGAAAATAAAGACAATGACTCACCTTGTACAATTTGTGCCTGTGAGCAAGTCTGTGCCACAGCCCGTCTCAGTGGGCACATGCCAGGAGGCACGGGGCGCGGGGCGCAGAAGGCCGCTGAGAGAGGCGTCCTCAGAAGGACAGTCAGGGGGCTGAGCCCCTCTTGCAGCCCCGGCCCACATGGAGTCTTCCTCCAGAACCCTCCTGGAGGCCCCATCTTGGCTCCCCAGCCTCCTGCTTATTCACGCAAGAGAGAACAGAAAAGCAGGAAGATTCCTAAGAAAAATAGGTCAGCTGCCTCTGGCAGACCGGCCTCACACCCGTGGGCAGTGCCCCTGGTGGGGGGCTATAGGCTGCCTGTCCAACCCAGAGTCCTCCCATCGCACCCTGGACTGTGGCGGGCTAAGGACAGCCGGGACCACAGCCCACCCCTAGCAAGACAGACCATTTCCTGCACCTCCGCGAACTCTGCCTTCACCTGCCCCCGACGTGGGCTTTCTCTCTGGGACCTCAGGCAGCCTTCAGTGCAGCCCCTGGGCTGCAGCCTCCCCCTCTGGTAACTTCTGGGCTGCCTAGACTCCGGTGCAGAGCCGGGGACAGGAAAGCAAGGAGTCTGCTCTGAGGGCAGTCTCAGGGCGCAGCACTCGGAGAGGACTGGCTCCCACCTCATGCCCACACACTAACTGTCCCTGTCCCGCCACACTCCACACCCACTCACACAAACACACAGGTGCCTGCCGTGTGTGTGCACCCCCACATACAGGCTGCACACACATGCGCACAGACAGGAACACAGGCGTACATGCACACACACCTCCAGACAGCTGAAAGTTCTCACCAATTACAGCTCTTGTCACCATTCAGACCCACTCTTCAGACAGGCTGCTTAAGGCATGCAAGCAAGCAGATGGAAGGAGACCCTGTACCCAGCCTGAGAAGACCACAAGAGGTGGAGAAGGAGCTACGTTAAATCTCAGGCCCAGCCCTCTTTGAGGCTCACCTCCCACCCCGACGTCTTGGGCCCGGCAAACAGGAAGGCTGTGGGGGAACGAGGGAGCACCCCCCAGCAGGGCTGAGAAGAAGAGGGCCAAGGGAGGAGACACAGCAGGCCAGGGTCTGAGAGCTGGTGCCCTCGCCAGGAGAGAGCAAAGGCATGGAGGGAGGGAGGGGCAGAGAGATGCTGGGGTTCAGCAGCTTCCAGCTAGGCAGCCTCTGCTCCTTGGGTAACCAGATCCCAGTTTCTGTCTCAGAGCCATAAACATGAAACCACCCAGGGTCTGGGACCCAACAACTCCAAGACTGTCACATGTTGGGCCATAGGCCAGCAACTGAAAGCTGATCCTTCCCACTGCCCCTCAGCCGTGCCCTTTCCAACACATCCCCCCAAACTTCCCCAGGGCACATGCTGGCAGACACACCCCTGCCTCCAGCATATGTGCTGGGGACACACACACACACACACACACACACACACGCTCCACTGACCGCTTCCTGCGGCAAGTTCTTCTCAGCTGACGGGCTACCCTCAGGGTCTTGCCAGCAGACTCCAGGTCTAAACCTCCCCCCAATCTTAGTTACCAAAAGGAACAAGTGTGGGCCAAAACCAGGTAGAGGGTAAAGGGCTCTGGTCCAACTACCAGCAGGATCTGAGCCAGAACCCCTTTTGATCTGGGGACACTATAGTCAGGGATAATCTAACCATAGGGTCTGTGACAGAGAAGGCAGCCTTGGGCATAAAGGCCCAGACTTCCCGCCCCCATCTGAGTCCAGAGTCAGCTAAGCAGGGCCAGGGGCCTCCCACAGAGGGGCAAACTCCTCCCAGCTTGCTCAGCAGTTGTCTGAGATGCTGAGACTATGCCAATCACCACACTCCAGACTCCAGGTATCACTCCAACCCTCTTCACCCTCCCAACCTGTCCACTGACCTCAATCACTTCCCAAACATACATGATCCAAGTCAAATAGAAGAGCCCATCCATCCCTACCTTTGTCCCACACCTGGGCTTGATAATCCCAATACGACAGTACCTAGGGTCCCATCCCCTTTCACCCCTCTGCTGGAGCAGCACCTGCTTAGCCAATTCCTAAGAGCAACATCTCAAATTCCCTGCCATTCAGGGATCGCCCCAGAAGTCACTTCTCCCAGTCAGAGAACAGCTGAGCTCTCATGGTGACCCTCACCAGCATCTGAACACTGCTGCTTCTCACATGAGCAGGTGCCCCTCCCTCCAGAGGCTCCGTGCTGTCAGCAGTTCACCTCCTGAGCTCTGCGTCCTTCCACAAGCCTCTGGCCACTGACAACCCTCCAGCTTTGCAGACCTTGCAAAGGACTTCCACGCAGCTTTGAGGCCTGCACGTCCTGCACGTGTGTCCCTAGAAGGCAGGGGGACAAGAGGTTCTGCCCAGACAAGGTCAGCCCATGAAGGAGTCTCAGTTCCTGACAGAGGTAGCCTAACAAAATCCCTCCCCCCTCAACATACACTCAGCTCCTGGTGCCTTGAATGGCCCAAGGGAAAGAAATTGAGAAGAAGCCTGGGATCTCATTGAAATAATAAGGTTAATGTTTATTGAGCATATACTATATAACAGATAGCCACTCATTTCTTTATAGCACTAATGTTCACCAAAAACAAACAAACAAACAAAAACCTCTAAGGTCATACTATTACCCATTTTCTATTGACACAAGTGACATTAAGAGAGGTTGAGTAATTTGTCCAAGGTCAGAGGGTCAGCAAGTAGTAGAGCCAGGATTTGAATCCAGGTAATTTAACTCTAGACCTGGGTCCTTAACCACCAGACATAGAGCCACTTTAGGCTAAAAAGACCCCAAGACTAGTAAGGTCACCCTCTACGTCAAGACAGGGTTGTATGTCAACTCATCCCAGACAGAAGGACCTCTCTGCATCCTAAAACTAGGCATAACCTTCATGCCCAACAACCTTCAATGTCGGAAACTCTTCCTTCTGTCTTGCCACTCTGTGTGTTGCTGAAACGTAAACCCATTTTCCTTTATTCTGTACTTAAAGTTACGAAGAAGTCCATTCCCCCAATCCTGAGTTGGGTTTAGAGGCTATTTCAGAACCTTCCTTCAGCGTCTCCTTTCTATTCAAAGATCCCAGCTCCTCCTTTTGTGCTTTCAGGGACAGTCCCATAGCAGGAACATACCAAAATCCGGCGGGGAGGAGGATGAGGGCATTGGAAGACTACAAGGAAATGGGGGAGAGGGTGAGGATGAGGCTACAGGCAGATTCTCTAGAACACCCGACCCACCTCACTTCCGACCCACCTCACATCCACCCCCATTCCATAAGCTTCTGCTGCTGCCCTGGCCTCAGTTTTCCCACTTGACAAATGGGGAGTTTTAAACAGCCAGATCAACAAATCACTTGACACAATCACCCTCCGCTGGCTCTGTTTTCAGACACCGCCCCCCGCCAGGAGCATAGGAGACATATTCCATTCCAGAAACTTTCTCTAAGCACTCCCCCTCCGCACCCCCAGACGAGGTGATGAGAGGACCCTGTTAGAGGCGCCTCCTGCCGACCCCTGCTGCCCTAGCGCCACTGGCGGTGGCTGCTCGGTGGCGGGTCCTCCGCTGACTTCCACCCACGGACCGGCTCTCTCCTGCCGCCATCTCCTCCCGGCTCTGTGAACTTGCCCGCAGCCGGGTCGTGTCTGCGCGCTGACAGCCATGAGCTCAGAGTCCTGGCACCCTCCAGGCTCCGCTCCTACTTCCATACAAGGGCCGAGAGCCGGGGTGCCACCCAGAGGCTTGTAGGTCGCTTTGCCCGTCTCCAGAGCAAAAGCCCGCGCGCTCGCGCACGCATCGCCCAACTCGCTGGCTTCCCTCTTGCCTCTTCCCCAGATCAGACCTGAGAAAGCGAAGAGAACCCTCCCCCGCTCCGGGATGCGGCAGCGGGGACCCTCTCCCCCTCCGCCCTCGCCCCCAGCCAGCACTGCCTCGCAGCCGGGGGGAGGGCGGCGTGGGGTCCGCGCGGCTGCGGCGCGCTCCCGGGGAACTTTCGCTTGGCCTGGGCCCAGATGCGGCTAAGATAGACGCGGGCGCCCGCCAGGGCCAGCCAAAAGCGGACACTCCTCTCCTCCGAGCTGGCTCAATCAATTCTCCTCCCACGGGGCGCCAAGAGCCCCCCCCCCGGTCCCTGCAAGGGGGATCCGACCCCTAGCTGCCAAGATGTGTGGCAGGAGGGGCGCGAGCGGAGCGGGGGGGTGCCCGCAGGGCCGAGAACTCCGTGCCCTAGACCTGGTGCTGAGAGTCCCAGGGCTCTGGGTCGCGCCTCCCTGCAAGGGCTCCTCCGCGGAGCGGTGGCGCTGCGCGGGGCTCGAGCGTGCTGCAGCCTGCCCGAAGACCCGCCAACTCCGCAGCAGCCAGAGTTAGAAGAGCTGCCGACTCCCCAAAGCTCGAGGAAGCGGCTGCTAGGGCAAGAGGCAACGGACTCGGCACGCCGGTGTGAACCATAGGGCCCAGGGTGGGCGAAGCCAACCTCGATTCGGAGGCGTCCTTTCCCCGAGTGCCCGGCAGCCCGTGGGCTCGGTCCCCTTCCCGCCCGCTCCTCCAGCCTGCGGCCCCGGGCCCTCCCCGGCAGCGCCCCGGGATGCGCCTGCCCGAGCCCGAGCCTCCCCGTGGGAAGGCGCGGCGCCCCGGGAAGCCCGATCCCGGGAGCTAGGGGCAGACAGCGCCGGGAGGGGCAGAGGAGGAACACTGCACTTCAACTCACCTTGAGCCGCAAGACCTCGGGTGCTGATCACACTTGCTATCAAAGTGGCCACATACCAAATCATAGTACTACCGCGCGCCAGCCAAGAACCTCATCCTATCGCAAAGTGCCCCTGCGCCCGCACACTTCTTGTGCCAGAGCGCCCGCCTCACGCCCGCCTGTCGCCCGCCTACGCCCCGCGCCGGTGCTCCTGCAGCCCGGGCGGCCAGCTCTCCATCCCTCCTCGGCTCCGCTCGGCTCGGCGCGCAGCCTCCCCGGCCCGGCGCAGCGGCACCTGCACTGCGAGCCGAGGCAGAGCGCAGCCCGGTCCACGGTGAAACCTAGCGGGGCCGGGCCTCCGGGACCGCCCCCCGCCTCCTGCCTATTGGGCAGTGCCCACAAATCTAGATTGCAATTGGCTCGGATATCTGTCCGTCGCAGCGCGAAGGAGGCGAGCCCATTTCAAGGTACGTTGAAGTGTGGCGAGCACAGAGCCGCAGAATCATGCGCATTGCCGGAGAGAAGGCGTTGTAGCGTCTCCGCTCTGTTCTGTTCTCTGCTCACACTGCATGGCAAGTTTCTGGTGACGGAAATGGTAGCTTCCAACGGGACCCTGACATATCTCAATAACCCTGGTCAGGTCTGAGGGGATGGAGCCCCCGCCCACCCATGGAACCCAACATCCGGTTTCCATCCAGAAAAAAGCAGTTCCCGGAGGACCAAGCTGATGCAGTGATGGGGAAGCCCAGGAACGGGCATCCTGGGAGAGCTAGGGAACGTCCTTCGCTGGAGATTTTTTCAAAGAGGTCACACGCTGCCTCCCCCACCCCCAGTCCCTTCCGCACACAAACACTCTTCTCCTAGCACACCACCTCCACCAAACGTGATGTTGAGTTAGGCTCCATCCAGCCTGCAGGCAGGGGGATGACTAAAATGACCTCTAAAAGTCGTTAAGATGTGGAATGAGTCATTCGCTCAGCTGTGAAGTGTCACAGACCCCTCTGGAACACGCATACACACATGCTGCCACCCCCAGTGCCGGTCATCGTTGCTCATCATTACTAAATCTTAACTTTGAGCAATGAAAGTTCTTTTTTTCTCTTCTCCTAAAAAAAGGCTTCATCCTCGTGCTCATGAGTCCTCCCCTCCCACCTTACTCAGAACCTAGCCCCATCTCAGCAGAATGAAGCCAAGATGGATTTGGGGGGTGGTTCAGGAGTTCGGGACGGAAGAGACCCCAGGAAATGGGAAACAGGGCTTCTTATTCCTTCAGAGATACACAGGTCAGGAAACGGAAGATCTTCATATTTCCCAATACCCCTACGGTAGCCTCTCCTCATCCCCTCCCCCAGCACAGTCTTATTTGCAAAAGAAATAAATGAGTGTCATGGAAACATCTACTACAAGCAGTCGCCTCACACCAGTGTTCTGAGGCTGCAGTGAAGATATTTGTTCTTTCAAGGAGGGAAAGCAGTGGTAAGAATCACACAGCTCCCCAGGATGGACCGTTGGCCAAGGAAGGAAGACAGAGGGGAAGCGAGGGAGAGCTCAGGAACGTCATCCTCTAAAGCACGCCTTAGCCACAAAGCCCTGGCTCTAGGATGTCAAGCACCCAAAAGAAAAACAAGGAGACTTTCTCCGAGAAAGCACATGCACATGTACAAACACACACACACAACATGCACACACATAGAAAGTGGTTTGAACATTGGAGGTTCAGCATTCTCTGAAACCTGAACCCTCTTAGCTCACTGCCAGCCAGGAAGTGAAAAGCCGGGACCCCCAGCAGAGTAGTAAACACACTGGTAAAGTCTTAGCATGTGGCTATAATTGGGAGAACCAGAACTCTGGAATAACCTCCTGTCCTCTCCACCCACTCTACTCATGCAAACACACTCAAGATGCATAGCTCTGGGCACCTCTCTGTCTGAGCCATTGCTTCAGGTTCTCTTCCTGGTACAAGATGCCTTTCTTGTGGCTATGAAGTGAGCTGGAAGCTCCAGGGCTCATTGATGCAGTAATTTGCAGGCAGCATTCCCTAAGGTAACCCCACCCCAACCCCCCACACACACACGCACCCACACAACACACACACATACACCCACACACTTTTCCAGGGTCCTACGGCTTGAAGCCTTACTGGAATCCGTCTGCAGAACTAGTGATGATAGGACTCTCCTTCTTCCAAACCTCTAAGCAGCTAACTGGCCACGAGAGAGAGACTGGATTCCTAAGAGCTAGCCCCAGTTCCTTTCCTCACCATTCTTAAGTGTAAGCAAGTCACGGGAGTGGGAAGCATTAGGGGTCAGAGAAAGCTTCCCCTAGGGCCAAGGCTAAGGCCACTCTCACCATCCTTCTGGACTGAATTTGTTTGACCATCTACTTTGTCCTACTCAGAGTGGGGGTTTCTACTAGGGAATTAAAGCATCTGTCAGACTGGAAAGAAAAAAAAAACACACAAAACAAGCTCTAGAGTAGGAGTTGAGTTGGGAAGGGTTCAAAGGAACTATCTAAAGAGGAGAATAAACTTCTTCTGGGTAAGTCTACTGGAAATAGTGTGGAGCAAGGGAGTGAAGGCAGAAAGGAAAGGAAAGAAAATTGAAATACAAAGGGAAAAGTTATCATCATCATCATCATCATCATCAGATATGTCTCAATTGGGTTTCAGATTATCTCAAGAGAAATACACCATATCAGGTCACAGTGAGGAATGAGACCAACCAAATCGTTTCCTCTGGGCATATGGCTGAGCTTTGGATCCAGGAAGGATGGCAGCCCCTTCTGGCATGGACATGTCCAGTTAAGTGTGGACCCTAGCTGCTGGAGAGGATATCAGGAAGGAACATGAGCCATTCTCAAAAGCACCTCCTAGGTGTACTTGATAGCCATCAATGTCACCAGTAAGTGCAGTGATCTATCCAGGAATGCTATGGATACCAGGTATGGGAGTGTATGTCATCTTCTCTTAATCTCACAGAGGCATTTACTTTTTGGCAATACAAGACACTAGTCTCATCAGTTAGTCTATGAAAACCCCACAATGGATGGACTGAATGGTACCCACCCACACTGGTGGTGAAGGTAGATCTTTACTCAGTCTACTGATTCAATTGCTAATCTCTTCTAAGAACACCCTCACAGACACACCCAAAATAATGTTTTACCAGCTTTCTGGGCATCTCTTACCCCAGCTAAGTTGACACCTAAAACTAACCATCACCAAAGGGCTTGACACACGGTAGCTGGATCTTAGAATTTTCTCACTTTAATTTAAGCTGCCATCATCAGTCCCACATCTCAGAGATGTGCCTTTGACCGTTATAAAAACTAGCCTATTTATGAAGCAAATCCTTTCACCTTGTTTTCTCTCAATATACCAGAGACCAGTCAGCATGTTTTAAAAGAACTTGGAAAGAGAGAAGAAAATAAACAAAGAAAATTGGATTTATAAAATATAAATATCTAATCTTACAATCTGATGCAGAAGTGTAGAAAATTTTTGAAAGGTTCTCAAACTCTCCTATCATAAGAATTTTTCATCTAGGTTCAAAATGCTGGCAGAACTTTGCAGGCACCTTGCGTAGCTCCCTTCCCTCCTAGCTCCCTGCCTGTCTCGTGGGTGAGTGGCCTCCGATCATAAGTTGTTTCTCTGGACCCAAGCACCCTTCAACAATCCACCTTGCTCTCTCCAAATGTAAGTTCCTGAAGCCTTTTTCTTACTAAAACTCACTTCATTATGATTCAAATTTAGCGGAATATCCAGAGTTCTCTTACTGAGCTGCAATTTCCCCTGAAGGCCACAGCTTACTTAGGTGGGGGTGACTGGCCTAGAGACTGATCCAGTTCTTCCTCACTTAAGATAACCTGTTTCGACGATGGAAGTGGATCATTTTCTGCTATCCCATCCAGATGAGTCCACAAGCCCAGGAAGAGAGTCTAGAGAACCCCGTCCACTGCAAGGGTGCAGCCCAGCATTGCTTCCCTGTGCTCTGAGCATCCTGTACATGTGCCAGATGTGGCACACCTGAGAGTGGGCAGCAGATGACACTCCCCACAACCTGTCCTGGCCATGCACAGGTCTGATCGTGTATATCCACAGAGCAGAACTCTCTCGTGCTGAGCCTTAAGTCAGAGTTCCTAAAGTTGTGTTTGTTGCAACATAGTAGAAATGAATTGGTAAAGAAACCAGTTCCTGGAATTTTAGCCAAACTATATTTGTTCCTTGTCTGGCTGAAGAGGGAACATGTTCTTGCCTGAAGTAGAAAGTGGATTCATAATTTAAGTTTGCTTGAAAATGACATAAATAGCACCTTCAGCCATACTGATCCCTCTCTTTCTTCTTGGTGTTTCAGGCCAACTCTAAAGAATCTCAGAGAATACATGCTTGATGGTTTTGTGGCTTAAGCTGGGAGTGTAGAAAGGAGATTTGCTGCTCTGCATGACATTTGTCCCACAGAACTCAGGATCCCTAATTGTGAACTGTCCCATGAGAACATGTCACCATCACTGTTCAGCAACTCCTCACCTTACCAGGAGCTGCATCTTAGAAACTGTGGTTCCTAGGCCTCCTGGGGCAACTCTAACCCACCTGAGTGTGCCTTTGCCTGCCCATGGCTAAAGGCCCACGCAGTGAGATGCCGGGTCATTTGGCAGCAGTGGACCTCACTCACACACCCTGGCATTCAGGACTGTAGCAGACAGCCTGGAGTCAGGGCTCCATGGCACCATCTGGCTCCGGCCCTACCAGCTTGGGGCTTTGTGTCATTCGTTTTTGCCTGAGTTATCATCCCCCATCTGTGTAAAGAACTATACAAGGTAGCAGGAACTATGGTCTGCAGGAGAGGTGGATCTGAACATTCCTGTGGGCAGTTTCTTAGTCCCAGTTTCCCTGAAAGCCCCATGACATGCCCCTGTGATATTACATAGGAGGAAAATGGAACCTAGCTTTATCCTGAAATCTTGGAGGCTTGGGTATCCAGGGATTCTAGTATAGCATAGAA